GGCGGCAATTCTGGATTACCCAGAACCGACCAAGATCAAGCAACTACGAACGTTTAACGGCCTTGTAAGTTTCTACAGACGATTCGTACCTAAAAGCACTTTACTCATGAAACCTCTAACCGACAAACTTCGTGGAAACGCGAAATTCATTAATTTGGACGACAATGCACGAAAAGCACTCCCCACAATTAAGGAACTCATTGCTAAAGCAACAATGCTTGCACATCAGGACACCCGAGCACCCATTAGTATCGCAGTAGACGCATTCGACTCAGCAATCCGAGGAGTCTTACAACAATCGGTTAACAACTTCTGGCAACCATTGGCATTTTTCTCTAGACGGTTGCTAGACACCGAATCCAGGTACAGCACATTCGGTAGGGAACTCCTAGCTATGTGATGTACGGCATTTTCAACATTATATCGAAGGTCGTGAATTCGCCCTTTTCACTGACCATAAACCTCTTACTTTCTCTTTAGGCTCCTCTTCAAACAAGTACTCACCTCGTGAGTCTCGACAACTGGACTACATTTCGCAGTTTACTTCAGAAATGCAACACATTTCTGGAGCAAACAATGTAGTTGCAGACGCCTTATCTCGCATAACTTCCTTGAACAGTTTCCAAGGGATCGACCCTCTTAAACCCGCCGAGCTTCAAAAAGAAGACACTGATCTTCAGCACGAGTTATGGTCCACAACCCTCAAGTTACGTATCAAACATATGGGAACAGGTAAGGAAACCTTACTGTGTGACACGCCTACAGGTAGGGATCGTCCAATCGTGCCGAAACGCTCCTGTGTAAGCTGCCAAAGATCTAAGGTTATCAGATACAATAAATGTCCCTTAGGCTCATTTAAAACTCCCGATGCTCGTTTCGACCATGTTCATCTGGATTTGGTAGGACCTTTACCAGATTCAAATGGATACTCTTATCTCTTAACCTGCGTAGACCGTTTCACTCGATGGCCAGAAGCAGTACCTATCAAGGACATCACTGCCGAAACAGTGGCCCGCACCTTCGTCGAACGATGGGTAGCAAACTTCGGTTGCCCTTCAACCATCACCACAGACCGCGGACGTCACTTTGAGTCTGAACTTTTCCGTCGTCTGACCACACTTTTAGGAATCACTCGCTTCCGAACGACCGCCTACCATCCACAAGCAAACGGGTTGGTAGAACGTTTTCACCGACAACTGAAAGCTTCGCTATCAGCTGCAGACGTTTCACAGTGGACCGACGCTCTTCCACTCGTCTTACTAGGTATTCGCAATGCAGTGAAAGCTGACATTCGATACATCGCGGTTCAACTCGTTTATGGAACGACACTTCGACTTCCAGGAGAATTTGTGGATCCTTCATACTCTTCAATGAACATGGATCTAACCTCCTGCACGAACGGGCTTACAAACGCAATGCGTTCAGTTAAACCTGCTTCCACTCGACCACAATCAACCGATGTTTTCGTTCAACCTGACTTACGATATAGTACACACGTTTTCGTTCGTCGAGACTCGCATCGACAACCATTCGAATCAGCATACGAAGGACCTTTCAAAGTTCTTCAACGTGAATCTAAGTACTATATAGTCGATAAGAACGGAACAAACGATAGCATCAGCATCGATCGCTTAAAACCGGCGTATTTAGAAGGAAGTCCTATCTACGTCGATTATCCTTCCGTGCAATCGACCGACACGACTCTTACACTTATAATACCTCAACCGAAAACCAACACACACGATGATACTTCGACAGTATCTGAAAATAAACTTAAAACAACGCGTTCTGGAAGAAGAGTTAGATTTCCAGAACATCTAAACGACTATTGCACGTAAGACACTAGTTAACGTTTTGTTTCGTCTCGATTTTCCATGGTATAATACAATATAAAAAATCAATTTTTAATATGCTTATATTCATATATATTCCTTATTTGGCTAATACGTATAGTAAAAAATTTTTTTAAGAAAAAAAACAAAAAAACATTACGTAAAAATCGCTTTTACGTGATTTATGCTTTTTCGCCCATTTTGTGTCTTAAAGCGCGTACGTATTTATTTCGACATGCACTTACTTATTCTTGTTTTCTTTTCCAGGGCGACTGTAAAAGACGATAAAAAGAACGATGAGGTTTACGAGGATCCAAAATTTTGGTTGTGCATTATTTTCTTACTATATTGTATTTCATGATCCCTTATAGTAAGGAAAGACGACCAGATGCTGCTAAACCTACCAAGCTATCAGAAGAGTGTTTACAAATGACAAAACTCGTTGTGTTTAAACTTCTGGCTGGCTACGTCTTAGGGTCATCACTGCCCCACTAGGAGGGAGTGACCCGTAGCGGTAAATAAATCCTGTAAGTTTTCGACATTGAATGCTGACCACATGTTTTAATGGACTCACCTAGCTGAAGGCCCTCGGTCATGCATCCGCACCAGATCACGATTGGGAACGCCGTGCTCAACATCCACTGCAATCGCTAGCCAGATTAGATCAAACGATTCTCGATATATTGATATCACATCAAATATATCCTCCAATCTCCTCGATCCTGTCTTTTGATTTCTCTTAGTGGGTACGAGTTATATTAGAAGGTGTTACTGGTTAAAGAGTTGTCAAACACTGAATACCCGTGCCATCTTCATTGGGGATGTATCCTAGGCAAAAGCAACTCTTCACTTTATACGAAAACACCTTGGTGCCATCACCCCAGAGTTGTTCACAACGCTGTCTAAAACTTACGCACGACCGCGTTTGGAAGTTCACAATGTTGCCGTACCAATCTCTTCAATAAATATGAATCTCTTAGATCGTGCACAGAGATGGGCAACTAAGTTGTTGATAGGATTACAGAATAAACCACAAGAAGACAGGTCCCAACTCGTGGGATTATTCTGAGCTACAGGAGGACGGGGAGTGATCTGATATTGGCAGGCGACATATGACGTACTTGAAGTCACACCAACACGAACATTCTACCAAAATGACACTATCATACTCGTCGAGACAACCCTAGGCAGATAAAGAGCGAAAACCGAGGTACGATACAATTTTCTCCCATCAAAAGTGCACACTTGGAAGGCCTTCCAGTCTAACTGACCACACCCCTCTCAGCAGAAAGCCTTTAGAGGAGATTTGATAAATACGCGTATCATTATCACATGATGGTAACTACTTCCTATCTCGCCTATAGTTATCTGAGCCTCTCTTTTTATTCTTACACTTCGGTTTTCTTATATTATATGCAATATGAATCGATTAACTTATTTAATCATTTATTTTTTGAAACACTCGTCTTCTTTTAAAGTTCCAATCTTCACCTTATTATTCTTCTCTTTGTCTGAAGTTAATTCAACCCGCTCAATCCGTATTTATATTCATATTATTACCTTTGCTAAAATGTGGTTAACCTATGTGTTATATACAAAAGCAAATGTAGAATCAATGTTCTTGGCATATTCATTCGGTTGTCCTAATTAAAGTCAGATATCAGGCCACTAAATTGAGAAGCCATTATGGCATAGAGTAGACGTTACTGGATTAATGTAATAGTAATAGAATACCCAGCAACTCGAAATTGTATTCAACTGGTTCAACATGCACCAATTAATCCAAACCCTCTGGAGCATCATTTAGTCAATGTCTCAAATATTTATAGACCAATATAATGGCGCACCATAGTTAACAAACCGACAGATATATAGAAAGACATCTGGTTAAGTGCATATTATATTACTTTACACATAAGGGACTCGAACAATCACACGACTGGGGACGGTTTAACTAATGTAATTGAAGTAGTGCGTTTGACAGTTACACGCTTCCCCACATCCTTCATTCTAGAGAAAGGATCCAGCCACTTAAATTTCACTTGATATCAACCTACTCATTGTAGAGGAGGATTGGAAAGCAGCCTAAAGTAATAGTTTAATTGTCGGCTAAATACTTTAGCATGGCGTTCAGTAGCATGTTTCACTCTTGACTAATTATTAGACCTCTGAATTCGAGATAATAGGTCAAATGAGTGATAAACTTGAAGACAGAGAGAATGGGAGACTGTCTAGATTTGATTCAGCGAAATTGATTTAGATAACTCAGTCAAATAGTCTCTAAATTCGGTTTCGAAGAATAATTGTAGTAAAATTTACTAATGCATTACGTGGTAGGTAATGTTCACCAGTAGATTATCAACGAAACACCATTCCAGCAAGTTCATGAACAAAGAGGCAATGGCAGCAATCTCAAGTCGTAACACAAAAACAATTACTAATTAAGCTACTGTAAGTACTGTCAACTTTTCACTGTTATCGTCAATTCACAAATACTTCAAATACTTCAAATACTTTGGCAAAATTAGATTTCAGACTTTGTATTCAATCCACCTCGAAAATTATACAAGATACATTGATCAAGCGGCAGGCTAGTTTCTTATTGAAGCTGATGACATCAAGCATATTCAATGTGTGAGTATTAGGTTGATTACACGTCTTACTAAATTCTTGTAAGACGAAAAATTAAAACGCTGAAATGTTTTCGCAATATCTTATTGCAGAAAGTGTGATCATCTCATATCGCAACCTATTCTAAAAGCTCGAAAATTATTACTTTCTTTCTCTACCAAATTTGGGCGTGAAACAAGTAACACATTCCAAACCATACATTATCAACTTCTTATTTCGAATACCAGAGTACCTTAATACCAGTCACTTGTCATCTCTGATTCTTATAAATTGCTTTCCTTGTTAAATATGAGTATATTCTTAGTGCTTATTGAGTCGCCAGTCCACTTTTCCTCCTGTTCTTTTCTCCTCCAGATAATCGCAATTACTGCTATTATTACTCCCCCAGCACACAGGGTAACTTCAGCTTAGACGCCACCCTAATAAAGGTTGAACTTCACAGATAAATATTCTAACTACTGATTACTTCACAGAGTCTCCTCAAGTATAATGTTATAGAGGGTAATGCAATGTTTTTGTGCGTCTTCTATCTGACCTAGAAAAAAGGCGCACGTGTTGAAAATGTCGCAAGTTGTTTAGCAAAGTATGTACACTATTTTGTCCTTCAATTGGTGCGTTCACATTTAGTGACATCTTACAAGCTGTACGAATTCATTTTTTTAGAGACTTCGTGATTGGTTGGGCACATTCTCTTCGTCTATTATACTTCTTGGTGTTTTATTTCACCTGTACAGTCAAATTAGTTGCACGTAAATCCATCAGCAGACTTGATTCCTGAGTTAATTTATGTCGCTCTTCTCTCAATTTCTGCCTTCAGATGTGCTTATGGAGAGATTTAAACTTAAAATTTCCCGAGTGTATTACAACCATGGGCTATTCATTTCTTCACACCCAGCACCTGTTATCACCACTGTTTGCATCCTTATGATATTTCTTTGGTATGTTTGGCTTTGTTTAATAAGCTTAGCTATCCTTTGACCCAGCTCCCACTTGTGAAAGAAGTGCCAATTCATCGTGCGGTTGTTCGTGACGATGAATTTCAGTCGTTCAAAGATTCACGTTATGTTTTCGTAAGTCAGGATGTTGTCTTTCTAGTGTTCAGACAGTTAATTTAGGGTTTACCTTTTTTCGGTTTTTTTATTTTTCCGGGACAAAAACATCAACTAGTGTAGCATGTAGAGCTATTTTCAGTTCGTCGATTTTCACCAGCCACTTAAGACCGCGGTCATATTGAAATGACGTGATATCAAACAACAGTAGTTGACTGAGAATACGGTTTCAAGACTGTCTCAAAGTTTTGTTATACCCGAAATCCTCCCTTGTGTCCCCGTAGTTGTTAGCCTGTATGTACGAAACTGTCTGGAATTTAGGATAACTTGGTGTTTGTAGGCAAATTGCAAATCATGAGGTGCCTAAGACGTTCCTTTTGTTCCTGGATAAACCTTGAGTACGGAACATCATGATTTTCACTTACCTCAGCTGTTCTCAAATGTGTTTGTGATCTATGTGTTATATCTTTTAATGACTTTCATTATTACAGTCTAGAAATATGTCAACTTTCATCTATCTTGTCTCTATGAATGGGCAAGAGATTTTTCTGTCTTTAGGAAAATCTATTTTCCTTGTTTTCCTGAGGTTTTCCCATGTTTCTCCGAAAGTCTTAAGTTGACATGTTATTTTCCCCTCAGTTCAGATTAAAAAATCAAAACGTTATATGTTTGTTTTAATTCTCATTCTAGACTCCATTGACATTGATTTGCATGTCAATAAAACATACACCACTAATAGGCACATGGTTTTTTAGCTAACATCGTTTGCACGCGAACTGGTTAAGGTTTTCATCTTGCTGTTTAGATCTCTCTTGGTTTATTACTCGTGTATTAAAACCCTGTTTGTTCGTCGACTGTATGTATGATTATTATTAAACCAACATATTTATCCAAATTTACCCCGCGTTTCGGTCAGTTAGTTATACGTAACGTAAAACCTTATGTTTATTCAATACGAACTGAGTGAGTGACTGGTCTGATGAGTCGTTCTGAGTTAATTACCTGTTTTTAAGTACTCTTTTTACTTGTCGAAGTTACAACATATATTCCTGCGATTCAGATTTTAATTATATTCTTTGTGTAAAATATCCTTTCCGTGCTTTTAGAACACATTACATCAAGTTTATTGTAGTGTTTATTTTTATGTTTCCCTGTAAAAAACAGACGCATGATGACGAGAACAAAAGTCTTGGTTATATGCTTCAAATAGTCATTCATTCAAAAATAATTACAAAGGCTCCGAAGTGTCATATCAACCATGAAACTATTGTCCACTTACTTCAGCAGAGCAATGAAATAGTCGAGCTTGTTCACCAATTCAAAAGTTCTGGAGATGGGAATACACCAGGAGGACAAACTTTTGATGACATCTGCTTTCAGGTATATTCCACAATACTGAAATGTCTACCTTATCATTGTAATAATGCGGGCTGTTCATAGCTTCGTTCAAATATGATTAGTGTTAACTTAGGTAACTTTACTGGTACCCATGTCTAGTAAATCCCTAAACATTTTTGTTTTAACTAGCTTCGTTGATGTGGACCAACTTTTTAATAAAAGTGATTTGTTCTGTAACCTATACCGCTACACTTAGCAGTCTTTCAAACTAGTTTTAACTTTCTTATGTTATAGGATCAGTAAACAGTTATTATATGGCCTATCTAGATGTTTTTTCTGTCTGATAAACTCTTTTGGCCGTCAGTTTGTTTATGTTACTTCATTTAAAATTATTTTTCATCTATACTATTCCCTACTATCAATGACGAAAACATTTTCCAGATTTGAAGCTCCATTTACGAAGTTTATTTTTGCAGTCGTAAGGTTGTTATGTTCTGTGGTCCGACTCAGTTACGATATACACTTCTTACGAATGACCATAACAACAATACAAATGAGAATACCGAAACTGATAAGAAAGTTGAAATGTCCAAATTTCAATCATGATCTATACACCACATGTGTTTATACACTTATCACCTTTGTTCTGAATAACAACTTGTGGACTGAGACCCTTGGCTAGGAGATAATCGGCTTCCCCATAACTAGCCTTTTTTGAATTTTCCCCTTCCGTTCGATCTTGAGACATAGTACGAGCTGCCTAGTCTTTGTAATATCACGTAGTATTTCCAGGCTTGCTTAATCTATCAAAAGCAAAACTTGTGTTACCGTTGGCTGTGATATTTTTCGATTTGTTGATCGTCAATTAATTTACCTTTCATCTACAGGATCTGGCTCTTAAGGTATCTTTGAATTCTCAAGTGTTATGCATTATTTAGCCGGGTATCAAATCTGTTAGAGTTCCCTGATTTTTTTATTGTTTGATGTACCTGCTTGACTTCAGATCCAGATGCGTATATGGGTATATCATTTCAGACATCTGTTTACGTCCATACTTTGAATTATGTTAGTAATTGTCATTCACTCACTTCTTCAAATTTAGTTGATCGTATGTTCAAAACAGTATAAAAAATACTACTCACAAATAATAATTTTTGTTATCTGTTTGTGGTGTATTCTATTACGGTTGTCTTTCTGTTCCCTTATTCCATTGTTTTTCTTTAAGGTTGAGGATAGAGCAGTTAATGAAGTAGAGAATTCCGAAACAATAAAAAATGTATTACCTACATTCGGGTGTCTCATGTTAGCTCCTAGTTTCTTATTGGTTGACCGTCTCGGTGTAATTCAGTCCCATCAATCCTCGGTCCTTTCACGCATAAAACTTGCAGCTTCAGGGAACCTACTAGATCTTTTATTTGGATTACCTTGGAAGACAACTGGATTGTCAAAATTGTCTAGGTGTAGTCGAGAACGGACAGTTACATATGCGCTAACTTTAGTATTTCGGGAATACAAACCTTCGTAAGTATTGTTCTGTTTAGCATTTTCAATTAGTACACAAAGTTTGTTACCCTGTAAATCCTTTTTTAAAAACAGTATTTTTGTCCTTATAACATTTCATTTATATCTAAACACGCTATTTTCTTAGTGAGACTTCCAATCAGAAAAAGCCTATCAAAGTGAATAGTCACTAAAGTTAATGTAGTTAATGTAGTATAGCTTCAAGCATCATTCTCTATTTTAAAATTTAACTGCACATATATCAACTAGTCAGCTTCGTATAATCACTGATCTAACATAAATATGCATGACTCAAATCCACTTCATCTGTACCTGTTATAAGTAACCGCTTTATTTTTTATATGCTCACTTTTTATGATATTTGTCATTCGCATAAAATTTCAGTCCTACTTGGATACTTCTCACTATCTGAGTGTTGAGTAGGGAAAACTTATAACAGATTACAATCGCCCTTTAAATAGTTTCAGAAGCTTGAGATGCTGAAAATGCATTGTCAAACGCTGAAATAACCCATGCGCTTATTACGAAATAACATTAGTTTGTATGTAGTACTGACTGCTAATCGAATCTTGTCATTCAAAACTGGTTTATCCAACTTCCCGCCCATATCACTGATTACTTTTTGTTTCCAACTTAACCTAAAAATTCTTGTATTTCCACACCATTTAGACTTAGTGTCTTTATTATATCGATTATAGTAATACAGTTTTTCTGCTCTCAAACTTCTTGGAATTCAACCCTTGTTTTGAATATACGGTTTTTTGTTTGTGAATAACTTTTTGTCATGTTTTGTACCCCAATAATAACTTTTTTATCCTCTATCTACTACTTAGTCTTATATTAAAAAAATAAAAAAATCTAGTGTCAGTCAGTTAGTTAGTTATAAAAGTTATATCTAGATTTAATCTGAATATGTGTTGTTTCAAACTGTCACAATATACAGACATATCAGTACAGGAGTTAGTTACTAAATAAACATCTTAAAATAAACAAATAAACTTGAGACATGTGAAGTATGGAGTCATATTGAGATTCATGAAAGATGGTGAATGAACAGTTTCGGCAAAGTAAGCTCTAACATGCTATACGGCCGTTTTTGTTTTAATCTTTCGACGTTAGATTTGTTCTATATTCCTTAGTTGATACCTCTATGTATTTTTATGGTCTCTACGCATTGTTAGAAATGTTTTTTTCGTTTGATATATTCACTATATGACATATTTTCTTTAAATTCAAGTTAATATCTACTTATTTGTTGTACCTCAAGCTTTTTTTCTGAACTGCGAGACTATTTGATTGATAGTATGGAAAACCTTCATAAAGATGCAAATATTAGTATAGAAACTCGAAAATTAAATGATACGTCAAACACGGCTTCAGTTGGACATATCTTCCTCGTTTGGTATAGTGATCGTTCATACTTTGCTGACTATGCACCATTACTTTTTATCTACGTCATTCTATTGCTCTATGTGTATTTTTCCGTTCGTAAGTTGTTTTATACATTTCTTATGATTTGTCATCAAAAATTGAATGTAGTATTTTGGTTGAATCATTAACTAACTAATATTCTAGTGATTTGAGAACACAAGTGGGTGACAATCGAATGTATTTCAACACATAATTACAGAGCATCTTAGTAAAATCCGAGAACCATACAATAACTACTTGATTTGCAAAATGTCAATCAATCATCTCAGATTTTATTGTTCTTTAGTTTCCACATCAATCATTCTTTGTTCTCGTCCTCTTTTCTTCGATTTTCTTAACCTTCTGTCTCCAGGTATTTCACTTTCGATAGACGATGCATACTACTTATATCTGTCGACATCAGTAGCACACACCAAAATATGATTCATTGCGTTATCTCAGTAACAATTCACTTTTCTGCCCTCGGTTTGTAGAAACTCACAACTTTGGAGTAAGATTTCTTATTTTGTGAAACAATAGACGGGGATTGTTTAAGGTTCTTATCTTTTGTCTGATAAGTGTTCATCGTAATAAATACCATCCTGTTCTACTTAGTTTCATACTATCTGAAGTTTAAATACTCGTCTTTTTCATAACAATGTTGAATAGGATATGCATTAATGGATGACATTCCCACTAAACTCCTTACAACAGCTTGATATTCTCATAATCAGATGATTTTCTGGACAACGTTTCTTTTTTAAGCTGTAAAACACTTCAAAATTTTCCTTTTCATGATTAGTCACGTTCTCTAAACCTTTATGGTGTATTGTAATATTTCATCGTTAAATAATAATCACGAGCTCTCTCTCTGCTGTAGGGTCCTGATAAACCCTCTTGATTGTGGTAAATCATGTACGTGTTTTTCCTTTATTGCAGTTTACTGGCAAGTGTAGTAGAATGAACTCAATGTTTATTAGGGTGCGTTGGCAGGACAGATTTCACCAAAGGATATTTCAGACAAAATAACGTTGGAGACCGCTAATTAGTTCATTTTCGACCAATCAGCGCTAGCTGATGGACCAGAAAGACCAGAGTACTCCTGTGTAAGGTTCCGGATATACACTAAAGCTTTGTTGCTTTTTTTATTTTGCTTTAGAATATATTTATGTTCTGTCCAAGTCGTGTTGTAATTTGGGAAGTATTCACGTAAGGTGGTGTTCGAGATTACTATACAGTGGAACAGGAGTATTCCAGGCCGAATAAAGAGACTTAACAAGTTGTTAAAACTTGAATTATTTTGAAGATTATATCCATTGAAGTCGTATCCGTCTACCATTATGTTTTTTCGTCCAATTTTAAGCATAAAATACTCTGCTTACTATTAACAGGTGGTCAAAATGAGAATAGGTTTAATTGCTCTATCAAACTTTTGCTTGAGTAATTCGTTCATCATATTTTACGTTTCTAAATTACATTGTTTTGATCATTATTGTTTTTGATAAAAATAACTTCTAGGTAAATTGGAAATGGTCAAATCAAAATGGGGTTTAGCTTTAAGCGCTTGTGTTACTGTCGCTGCGTCACTATTTATGTCTATTGGTCTGTGTGTAACAATCGGTCTTGTTATGCCAACACTTAACGGAAGGTATGATATATTTTAGTTTATTTAAACTTTTGTATGTTTTAAATAAACTACTGAAGTAAGTTTAGAATATCAAAAAATGTCGATTAAACTGGATTTAACTGTTGTTGTTTTAATTTACTTGTAAACATGAAAATGTATAATTTCTAATTTCCATTTATTCAATTTGTTATGTTGATTTCTATACTTCGGGTTAACCCTGTTTTACTGTTAATGCTAATATAAGAGGTACAGTGAAATTGCATACAAAAAAGTAAGATTTACAATTTCATAGTCATGGTACAATCCTGTGTGTAACAGCATTGCTTAAAATATTGATATCTAACATAATTGAGCTATAATAATAATTATTTGAACACATAAATATTGGTACAAAGGGGCACCGAATACATATGCACCACATAGGTCACTTGATTTGTGTATGGACTGCGATACTACAATGCGTCGTAACATTTGAAATTTTTAAGTTTTGATTTTAGAGAATGTTCTCAAACAATTATTTAATGAAAATAAACCAGTGTTTTAAAAAAATGCTTGCTTGAATAAAAGTCTCGACATTTTATACTTGAAACAAACAGATCTGATAAATAACTGTTAAGTATGTTAATTGATCTTATATTGAATTTTGTCTTCATTAGACGATACACACGCAGTTAATTGTATACTTTATTGACGTCTTTCATCTCCAAATCCCAATAAATATTGTTTACGATGAGTACGAGGACGAAATACCTCCGTATTGAAACGAGAATCAAAATCACAACCTTATTTGTTATTCAATGATTAAACTATTCATCTTTAGTTAATTATTTTCTATTAGTAACCCCTAATGATTAACAATTTTTTTAAACAACTCTTTTGATTGTACTATATTGTTTTTAGCTAAATATTTAACCTGTCAAAGCTATTTTCGGTTTAGTTATGTTAATGAATAATAATCAGTATTTTCCAAACACATATTTATCTGTTTAGTCGTTAATACTATTCTCTGTTGTTATATTATAAAGTAGTTGTTTAATAGTTAAGTCATTTGTCTTTCAACCACTGAGTTACACTCTTCTCAAATCTAGCCCACGATCAGCTAGTATCACTAGCCTTCACATAAAGGTGTGGAATTAATCCAAGTACCTAGTTACATCGTAACAAGATATTACTTAATAAGAACGATATATTTCTGTTTGACCGTCTCACTGTATTGCTAATCATAAGATCAATCAATTTTTCCGCCATCTACTACAGGGTTGACGAAATTAGTATTAGATATATATAAATCGTTCTTTCATATCGATTATTAACCTTTCTAAACTATACTTTGACACTAAACATTCCGTTAATTTTCTTTTTGGTCAGAAGTTAGAAAAAGACCGACATCATCATATGAATTATAACCTCAGTGTATACAGTAATGTGCAAACTATCACATCCTAACACTATCAAGATCGGTTGTAAAAAGATACACTTTGAAATTGGACTGTGCGCTTAAATATATTTGAAATATATCAAGGGTATGTTATTTTCCAAATAACAACTTAGTACTAGGGTGTTCGTATGTAAACGAAGTTGTTTTCGAACAATCTACTGATAATCTCTGGTTTGAGTTTACAAACTCCCTCCCTATAAGGAGAGATGGATAGTAGTTAGTAATGGAATTCAGGACGTGCGTTTCGCCCTATTTGGACTCGTCTATTGGATGTACCTGTATCCCAAAGTTGGTGTCCACTCCGGGACCCGAACCCGGTGCCGTTCGCTCCAAACGCCATCGCGTTATCCACTTGGCGACTGAGTCTGGATAGCCACTAGCTTGTGCAATGCAGTGAAGTTTAATTCATTCTTTATTAGTTGCTTGAATCTTCCAATTGATGTTTAGGACTACAATTGATCAGTCTCTTATTAACATATATGTAACCCGTGCGGATTGCCTCGATATTGCCTTAAATTACAATCGTTATAAGAAGAGATGAACTCTCAAATAGGACGAAACTCACGTCCTGAATTTCACTACTGGTCACCATCCATCTCTGCTTATAGTACTTGTGACTTAATGACATATCGAGGCAATCTTAACATTATGCATGCATGCCAATAAGAAACTGACAAATTTCAGTCCTAAACGTCAATGGGAAGATTCGAACAACCAATATAAAAATGAAGATTCTCTGTTTCTTTTTCCCTCCTCCCTCTCACTAGCTAGTTCTGAGAGTTGTTCACGCTTTACACAATTAATGATCTTTTGTTTTTTGTTCCTTTGCACACATATGTTGTGGTATGCTTGTTTCCAATAACGTTTCATTTAAGGCTTGATTTATACAGCAAGCTTCTGTTCAAGTCATTTCAATTTAAGTAATTTTAAATAATATCTAATGTTGGAAATTTTCCGTCATTTTAAATTAGTTCAGTCAGTTTTGTATAAGCTATTTCTATCATTTAATTAAATCATTACTATTGTAGTGAAAGAAGTCTTGGTGGGGATAACCAATCTATTGTTTGATGGAAAATTAGAGAGTGCTGTATGAAAATATGAGAACCATACATTAAATACATGATTTGCACATCCTCCTTCAGTTGTCCTTTACAGGCTTCATGATTTTTTCAATTCTGTTGTTATTACGATTACTTTCTGTTTCCCTTTCTGTCCTCTTCAATTGAATCTTTTCAATCTTCTGTTAGTATTCGTTCAACTTCCGATTAGTACTACATACTACTTATATCTGTCGACATAAGTAGCGCACACCACTATATGACTATTATGGCAAAAATAGAAAGTCTCCGTTTCTGTGTGATAAATTATAGTTTATTGATTTTATGTATAATTATATTCCTTGTTTTCTTTATATTTTCTTTAGCGAAGTTTTCCCTTATTTAGTCGTTCTAATTGGGTTTGAAAATGTCATTGTTTTGACGAAGTCTGTAGTTGCAACGCCAGTCGATCTTCCAGTGAAATATAGAATTGCTGAAGGTTAGTTCCATATATTGTGTAAATGTTCATTGTATTTTCTTCTTGAAATTGTCTGTATTTTCTTCACCGGACGAACCGACTAAAATTAGAAACATAAACCGTTAAACTCCAACTTACCTAACTGAAGGTTAGTCGCTCCCTATCTGAAGGTCCTAAGTTCAACCCCTAATATGATCACGTATACTTACTGGCGAGTATACCGATTCTAGGACGAAACAGCTATCCCGTGCTTCCTAGTTTACAATGGTTATGTAACTAGGTCACTCCATAGTGTAAAAACTTAATTTAATTTTTGAAGTTTAGAATCATCTAAAGCACACAATTATCGTCCTTCAAATGTTGCCTATCAGTTTGCTATGTTTGAAGCGATTACGAGTTCATTTAGTCTGCGAACGGAACAAAGACTTGTGACCGAAGACCAATAAACTAGCTATTCTGATGCGTCCTAGCCCCGCTAACAACAGACAGAAGTCGAAGTCCGTACGGGGAAGTATATTCCACAAAAAGCCAATAGCACGAGCGATAACAACAGACACAAATCGAAACGTATATATGCAGCACAAAACCGTCCTTGGGAAGCGTTAAAAAATAGCATACTGAAAGACACAACGGACCAATAGCGTTTAAGATTCTCCCAAGTGGGTAATATGACACGAAGGTGAAAAAGAGTGCTTTTGGCGCGAAAACAAAGTAATTCAATTTTTCAAAATAAAATTACAAAATTAGGACATTTTCCGAGTGAGTTTTGGGGATCTAACGTACCCAACACAGTTTCTCTGATAAACGTCAATCGAATGGTGTTGTGGCCACTTCATTTTAGTGACTACGAATTCCAGTATCATGAATTGTGTATGAATAATTGTTACAATAAGCCTTTGGCTTTTATAAATAATCACCAGCTAAATTTCTGAATATGTTATCATGTGATGTAATTTGTGTTGTATTGGATTTATTCTATCATTATTATAATTATTTTTTAAAAATAAAAATAGGTTTAAGCAAAGAAAGTTGGTCACATACAAAACTTTACTTTACTGGATTGTTGTTATTGGGTCTAGGATTCCTTACATTTCATCCTACAATGCAAGAATTTTGTTTGTTTGCAGTTGTCGGCTTGACTACAGACTTCTTTTTACAATTATTCTTTTTTGTTACGATTCTTTCGGTGGATATCCGACGAATGGAAGTAAGTTAACGAAGTTAGGTTAAGCATTTGAGCATTTATTGAAATTATTATGTAATTCATATAATTTTTTAAATTTTTCTCAAGTACTAACTGGGTTAATCCCATCCAACATCAAGTACATTATTAAATAATAGTTTTTTTAGAACCGTCGTTAATTGTATTTGAGCTTCGGCAATGTTTGTTTAAACACTGTTTATGACTCACTTGGCGCCACCCTTTTTAAACATCAGCTTTACTGGCTGAGAAATATGTTACAAATGCTTCCACATCAGGCAGTATTTTCCAATTCCGGGACTGGGTGAGTAAGGGGGAGAGGTTGTTTTTTTTATAACGTGACGCTAGTATAAAAGGAAACTCCTTAAAACTAGCATATGCCGGTCCATCACGACACTATTCTTGAAGTCCCGGAGATGTTAGAACCCAGTGTCTCTAGAGATGAGGAAGTATTGCTGGGAATAGAAGCCAACGAAGATCCTACTGTAGTTTTCTTTCACATCCTTCGTAAAGATGTAATGAGTTCCCTTAACTGGAGAAATTCTTCCTAATGGCTTTTCTTAGCTGATGTCTCTTTTGTTACACACTACTCTAGTTCACTTATTTTTATTCACTTATTTTGACTATAATTCTCATTCCTCTGTCTCTACAATTTCTTGTATTTGTGTGGTGCATATTTTAGTGCACAGTTGTTCCAGTATTTATGTGTATTGAATAAATAAGACGGAACAATCATGCATGATGTAATGATATAAATAGTAGGTAAAAATGAGGCACAAAATCGTTAATAAAATAAAATGAGAAGCATTCGTAGTAGTTTTTTCACTTTGTATGTGCTTTGCTATACGTCCTACTGACATAAAGGGGAACTACAACAGATTGTTACACGGTCACTAATACTCAATCAAGTGAGTCATAAAATACATCATGCACATTTTGTAATTAGTTAGCAAACTATACATCTAATTTAAAGGTTTGGTCATTTTAAATAACTAATTAGTGGACTAAATGTCCTGAGTTCGACTCCTAGTCGGGTTGCGGATGTCCACTGCTGGCAAGGCCCATAGTAGGAAAAATTGCTGCTCGATGTTTTCTGGTTTCCAACGGTTGTCTAATTAAGGTCAGTTCGTGGTGTAATTTATAGCAATTAGCTGGAAAAACAGGTAACGTGGTTAGCACAAATCATATGCATATTGTCCTACTTCTGTTTGATAATTTGCGCAAATTTTGAGTGCTGGAAGCAAGATTGGTAGTTCAGTAATATTCCTAGTCATTTAATATGTTTTTCCTGTCTAAAAAACGATAGCCCAAAAGTTTTAATGTAGCCACCAGTTTAAGTTTTTTTAGTCGTCGTGAGTAACATTTATGGAATAGAATTATCCCACATAATTCCACTACTACTAAGAAATATAATAATTATGCATATATTGCTCATCTTTTACATGTATTTCTGTCACCTTTTCCACGTCCTAGCTCTCTGATCTTATGTTGGAATATCCAGTTCATTCATTTATGCAAGAACCTCAAATGATTCCGCCATTTTATTCCTTTACTTCACCACTATCATCTTCAACTTCTTTATCATCATCTTTAGATATGATGATGACTGAATCATCGTGTAAAATTGAAAAACCCAGCTCATCGTTTACTGAAATGTCTAATAAAAAAGAAACTCGAATATCAAACAAATATTTAGCTTATATATTATCATTTATTTCAAATCTAAGCTCTATGTTGTTTAGGCCAGTTAAGGCTATTTTTCGACGTACAAGATTATCTTTTATGAAAGGACACAGGCGTCAGGTTTCAGGTAAGTTTGCATACTGTTTATCTATTAACCCAGTATAACGTTTTGGTTGATATTTTTGATGGCATTGTATATCTATTTGCAAAAAGCCTGTATTCTCGTCTTGTTAGTGTTTAGGACTGCAGTTGTTCAATCGCACGTGGCGTATGTGCTTAACAAGTCTCATAGAATGAAGCAAGCGTCATGAATCCCATTGTTAGCCAATATCCAACTTTACTTAAAGTTGTTTAGATAGTTTGCAAAATGACAGTTTCCCTTCTGACTACTAAGTAAAATACAGTATCCTTTCCAAAGAGATTATACAGTTATGTAAGAAGCAGTCACAATGAAAACGAATTGTCTTTGAAGCTTGATATGCGACGGTAAGTGCTGTATATCTGAATTAGCTAGGAAATACACATCTTTTCAAAAAATTAGCTTATAATATGTTAATGACTTCAATAATCTCTAAACATTTAGTATACCACAAACACCAAACAGTGTATTACATTACCCTGTTTGTCAATTTCATCATATTTCTTGGTCAATAAATTTTGTTCAATGCCAACAGTATGTGTCATCATGGAAACAATAAAGCAAGTACTTATCTTACAAGGCTTACTTTACTTCATACCTGAATGTGTGGTTAGTGACCAGTATTATCCCATGTTTAGTGTAATTTTTAATTTGATATCCAACATCTGGTTATCTACTTTCTTATCGTTTAATGTCAAAAGTAATACTATCTTATCCACATTTGCCCATTCATTAGTAAAGTCAGTTTCTTACTTTCTTTAGTAAACGACCATTAAGACAAGTAACTTTTGTACACTTATCACTAGTGAAATACATTTGACGTGCACAATGATAATCGTTCGTGAAATATGCAAATTCATATGCCAACCAATCCACATTTATTGAAATGCACATTTTTATGAATATGTGAATATGAATGCCAAAACCATGTTATCACTAGACATAGTATCTTTGTTCATTTACATCCATCCCACTGGCTGAAACCGTCGATTACATATGTGAACAATTACTAGAAAAGAAAATAGAGATACCGATCCCAATAAATGAAATAAAGGAGATTCTGTTGAAATGTACTATGAATATCTACTTTATGTCCAACAATGAGTTTTACAGACAAATAGATAAGGTAGCAATGGGATCACCCTTAGGCCCGATCCTTGCTAGTATTTTTCTGGTTAAACTAGAAAATCAACCTTTGAAAGACATCCTAAGTAAGTTCGATTATTACTGTCGATACATAGATGACACACTAATCGTGGGTGACGAAATTATGGACAAACAAGAGCTGTTGGACTGTTTCAATAACTTTCACCCAGATATTAAATTCCAAAGCGAAGAGGTGAACGACAATAGTAGAGCTTTTCTTAATGTCCTACTTTTTAGAAGGATAGACGGTTCCGTAAAATGAAATATATTTAGAAAGAGTACATCGACTGGTCAGTATAGCCATTTCCATAGCTTTACACCTCTTCAGTACAAAATAAATTTGATTAAATGTCTTAGCCACTGAATCAAACTATTATGTTCTGAAGATAATGTAGATAGCGGAATAGATACACTAAAAAACACATTACAAAATAACGGTGATCCAGATAATTTTGTCAGATAATCCCTAGTAAAAAAAGAAACTGACTCGGTCAGTAAAAAAACCCCTGTATCTGAAACTGGACCTTTAAGGGGACATAGCGGATGATATTTTAACACGTCGACTCAAAAGATCTATTGAAAGGGCGTTTTACACCGCCAAGTTATATATAATACTCTCATCTAAACTAGTACTTACACAACAAATCCAGGATAGGTTACCGATGATGGGCTCCTCCATGTGCGTATACCAATCCAACTGCCCCTGTGGAGATAGTTACATAGACCGTACTTTATCCTTTCATGTTCGTGAACATGCACCAGCGTGGTTGGGAAAAGGAGTCACTAAATCGATTAACAGTGTCATTCTTTCTTACTTGGTGGATAGCGAACATCATCTTAAAATAGATAAAGCTTTCATTGTTATATATCAAGTTCCAAATAATCTACCTCAAAGAGCTAGACTGCGGCTACTCTACATAGCTGAAGCCATCTGGATCAACTCCAGGAAACCGAACTAATATGTCCAGAAGAGGTATATCCAGCCTCCTTGTTTACCCTGGATCACTGGATACCTAGACTGGATATCATAAACTTCTTATCTCCCCCCTCCCAATTCCTTTTGTGTTTATATTTTTCTTAATCTTCATATTCATCTTCCCCAATTCACATGAATTCTTTTTTATCGTAATTACCTTGCATATTATATTCACACAACGGTGTTATTATGTTATTGTTATTACTCTTATTATTATCATTATTATCTCGATAAACAAGATGAAATTCTCCTACTATGCATTTTATTCATACGATTTTTTTAATTTATTTTTTAAAATATTACTATTATACTGATTATTACTTGACACTACTACAAATCATTCTGACCTTTCTAATTTTGAAGTATTTATATCGTAACAGATGCAAACGTTCACCACTTTTAGCACATAACATTGTGAAATTCATTAATACATGGCTTATTTTGGCCTTGGTAAAATATCACAATAATTATGGACTTATAACAGTAGAGCTTGATGAAGTTATTAAAAACAATTGTTCGCTCAAATATTCTTTATTTTTAAATATTCTATGGGAAGATTTTAACATTTTAATCCATGTTTTCGTTACTTTAAATATCATTATCTTGTAGAAGCATGTTACTTTCAGGCAAAATGTAACTAGAGAGCAGTTAAATACGTAAAGGAAAACATGACTTTAATAATGTCCAGCTTAAATGAGAAGTAGGGAATTATTCAATTTGCCAATATTTTCATAATTGTGATCACGTATATTATCACTATTTCTCGTAATTTTAACAACCCTAACATTGATATGACTATGCTTTATATTCCAGTTCATTTTAGTCTTATGTCTATTATGGAGAATAAAAAAGTTAGTACAGTCCTATGAGAAATACTATGTCTTGATTAGTCTACTTCGTGTTAGGTCTAAGTTCATTATTCACCAATTACAGTTGACCGTCAGTTTCGAGTGTAGGCAATAAAATATTTCGCTCCACAATTTTCATCAAAGCCTTCGCAAACGCTTTTTAACTCACTGTGATATTCATTTAATTACTGTAGTATTTATGTCATAAATATAAACAGAAATAATAATTTGTTATTATTTTTGTCTAATCCCCATGTATATACAAATTTCTCTTTATTTTCATCGGATAAGCTGCACAAACAGCTGCATACTTAGCTTCTGATGGTCAGACATCGCAAAATGTTCCACGACGATTACGCGTTCTTCGTTGCTGGGCGAAATCTCGACTCATACAACGTGTTCTTCTGGTACGTTGAACAAGTGAATATGTAAATCAATTTCATCATAGATAATATTACTATAATATACTGTGCGGATTAAAGACTCCTGTGAAACTTTAAAACAGAAGGATTAGTTCAGCGAAGAGTTCTCTTTTCGGCGAATTCATTTTCAAAGCTTTACAATCGCAAATATATATACTTATTTTTACAGGATGATAATAATACTGATAATAAAGTTGTTATACATGGTGATAGTGAGGTTAAATAAACAGAGGCATTAAAAAATAAAATAAAAAGATCTTTTAAAACAAGCAAAATTTAATAATCGTTTGATTGTTATTGGCTTAGGTATTCATCAAAAGACAGATAGGGAAATTATCATTGGGAAAGGATGGCTCAGCATGATAAAATACAATGTTGAAACAGAGATGAAATGTAATCGGAATGGTCGTGGAAATAAAAACAAACCAGTTGGGAGTAGAAGATTTAAAGGAAAGATGGAAGGTGAAGCAGATGACTGTAAAGGAACAAGAGTATGAAAAAGAGAAAAAGATTTTAATACATTAAGACCATGGTAGAAGAAGAGGTTGTACCAGTTTCTTTTGCACACACAATTCTGGTTTTTCCAGATATATGGCTATTGCTTCGGCAATGCAGAGAAGATGCGGTCTAATTGGTCTTAGGAAGACTTCTACTTACCTTGTAGATAACTTTGAACGCAGAGTCTGTCTTGATTGAATGACCTGTGTTCACAAGGTGTTCGATTATTGATAGGTCTTGCAGATTGGACGCTATATTCGTCTCCTAAGCTATTATGTAACCCCCAAGCTAGAACTATACAGCGACCTGAACACGAGGGAGAAGACTCAAAGTATGCGAGAAGTAGTTTGCTCCAAGGTTCATTTTAATACAGAAAATACAGGGTTTTTATAATATTTTAAATGTCCTTGGGTTGCTAGAAGATTCTGGAATGCTACTAAACATAGTAGCAGTGTAGCAGCCAACCAATCAGAGCCTCTGCATGTGACGTTTCGCTTCCTTGATATTTTTGGCTAAGACTTCAAGTGAACGCTGATTGGATGAAACGCTTCTTAGTGTTTTCTGATGCTTGCTTGTCTTTTGCAAGCAATTTTCTGGATCACCCCAACAATTATAGAACTTCTTATTGAGCCGTTGCCTCCTCTTTTTAGCTACGCCGGATAATGTTCTTGAATTCTTTTGGATAAAGTGCGCATCGAACGACCTATATACCTAGCTCCACACAGCAGGTAAATTGGTAAATGCACATTGAGTTGGCCAGATGCGATAATTTATCTTTCAGATTATTGGTGAACAATGATCGGCTGAAGAATAATATTCGCAATGTTGCTGCGAAGAATGTTCTTTTTAAGGAATCAGAAATTCTCCCCTTTAAGATATATGTGGCTCTATCACCTTTGAAGTCGATGTTCGTGTATAAAGTTTTCTTTTCTACTGTAATTATTTGTGTTTTTGGCTTCATATTCTTATCAATGAATATCGAAGGATACCCGTTTTTGATAAGTATCTCCTTTAAAAGGTTCAATTCCTCATCTACGACCTCGGGGCTACAGATTCTTCGTATTCTTGTAGCGAGTGTTATTATTAGGTTTCTTTTTCGGCTGATGGGAACCCAGCTGTGGAAATTTGATAGTTGGCCATTCCACATGGGTTTCCTGTAGATAGATCTTTTTAAAGTACCGTCTTGCTTTCTTGTCATTTCCACATCAAGAAAGTGAATATTTTGTTTGTTTTCAACTTCTAATGTGAATTTTATTGATGGGTGGGAATTATTAAATGTCTTCAGAAGATGACTTAAGTCATATTTGTTGTTACAAACGATAAAGATATCATCTACGTATCTTTTATACAAGTGAAGTTTCTCTATAGTCTCTTTCAGTTGATTGTTTTCTAAACTTGCCATGAAACAATCTGCAAGTAACGGACCCAGAGGGGATCCCATTGCTATACCGTCCTTCTGTCTATAAATTACGTCATTGAACATAAACTGTACATTGCAAGTGCACCGCAGTAATAGTTCCTTCAAATAAACATCCGGTATCCCAATGTTTATCTCCTTATTGTTTATGTACTTGCAGATAAAATTAATGGTCTCTGTGAGTGGAACATTAGTGAATAATGATTCGACATCCAGAGATAGCATAATTTTATCACTTACATTCACTTCTTTTATGTGCTCGATAAATTCAAAAGTATCACGTACGGAATGTTTACAAATGCGTTTTCTAACGGGTTCTGGGAGATTTGCCAGCCACTTTGCTATAGAGTGGTAAGGGGATCCTGACATATCGAGAATTGGTCTAAGAGGTAGGCCAGGTTTGTCTATTTTTGGCAGACCATACAATCGCGGTATTATTGATGCTGTTGGTTTTATGCGCTCAAAGACCTGTTCGTTGATTAACTGCTCATTTTTCATTCTCTTAAGAACTTCAATCAGTTGCTTTTCTATAATCTCAGTCTTGTTTTTTTCACTGATTGGTTTTGAGAATTTGGTGTCATCTGATAATAACGTTGTCATTTTTTCAACATAAATCTTGCGATCAAGCAGTATTAAACCAGCACCTTTATCTGGACGTGTTATAATCAAGTCTTTATTATTTCTAAGTAGTTTTATCTGATTTCTATGTTCTTTCGTTAGAAGACTTTTGCCTGTTACTTTTGTGTTAATATATTGGTTGCAGCTATCGCGAAGAGTAGATTCGAAACGTTGGAATTCTTGATCAGAGACTGGACTAAGACCATTTGTTTGTTTGATTAAGTTTTCGAATTGAACATGTGTATTGACTTTGTTAATTTTTCCATTTATGTCACAGAATTTTATCCCTAAAGATAAGGCTTCTAATTGTACATTTGTTAAGGATATTGAAGAATGATTAAACATATATCTTTCTGGATTGCTAGGAAATTTGTGCTGTGTTTCTGTGGTTTTTAAACTTTCAGTGAGGTCCGATATTAAATTTTTCGTGCGTTTGTCGATAACTGTGGTAACATATTCATTGAAAAGATTGTGTTCGTTAGGTGAAGACCATGTAGAAACTCCAAGGACCCTTCGACAGTAAAGGGACTTGATGAGTTTCTGCATTTTTCTGTCAAACTTGCGGAAATGAATGCGAAGTTTACGTTTCTTAAAGATTGCGTTAAAATGCACAAATATCCTAAATACTACTGGAAAATTCTTCGAAGAAGCCATATTTATCCAAACTCAAAATCTCTTAAACGCCATGCACAAAATGTTATCGATTCCATTCGTTCACGCATCCCGTTATTGGAATTTAACATTTCACAAAGATATCATGTTTTATATGAATTATCATTTTGTGCATGGCGTTTAAGAGATTTTGATAATTCATATAAAACATGATATCTTTGTGAAATGTTAAATTCCAATAACGGGATGCGTGAACGAATGGAATCGATAACATTTTGTGCATGGCGTTTAAGAGATTTTGAGTTTGGATAAATATGGCTTCTTCGAAGAATTTTCCAGTAGTATTTAGGATATTTGTGCATTTTAACGCAATCTTTAAGAAACGTAAACTTCGCATTCATTTCCGCAAGTTTGACAGAAAAATGCAGAAACTCATCAAGTCCCTTTACTGTCGAAGGGTCCTTGGAGTTTCTACATGGTCTTCACCTAACGAACACAATCTTTTCAATGAATATGTTACCACAGTTATCGACAAACGCACGAAAAATTTAATATCGGACCTCACTGAAAGTTTAAAAACCACAGAAACACAGCACAAATTTCCTAGCAATCCAGAAAGATATATGTTTAATCATTCTTCAATATCCTTAACAAATGTACAATTAGAAGCCTTATCTTTAGGGATAAAATTCTGTGACATAAATGGAAAAATTAACATAGTCAACACACATGTTCAATTCGAAAACTTAATCAAACAAACAAATGGTCTTAGTCCAGTCTCTGATCAAGAATTCCAACGTTTCGAATCTACTCTTCACGATAGCTGCAACCAATATATTAACACAAAAGTAACAGGCAAAAGTCTTCTAACGAAAGAACATAGAAATCAGATAAAACTACTTAGAAATAATAAAGACTTGATTATAACACGTCCAGATAAAGGTGCTGGTTTAATACTGCTTGATCGCAAGATTTATGTTGAAAAAATGACAACGTTATTATCAGATGACACCAAATTCTCAAAACCAATCAGTGAAAAAAACAAGACTGAGATTATAGAAAAGCAACTGATTGAAGTTCTTAAGAGAATGAAAAATGAGCAGTTAATCAACGAACAGGTCTTTGAGCGCATAAAACCAACAGCATCAATAATACCGCGATTGTATGGTCTGCCAAAAATAGACAAACCTGGCCTACCTCTTAGACCAATTCTCGATATGTCAGGATCCCCTTACCACTCTATAGCAAAGTGGCTGGCAAATCTCCCAGAACCCGTTAGAAAACGCATTTGTAAACATTCCGTACGTGATACTTTTGAATTTATCGAGCACATAAAAGAAGTGAATGTAAGTGATAAAATTATGCTATCTCTGGATGTCGAATCATTATTCACTAATGTTCCACTCACAGAGACCATTAATTTTATCTGCAAGTACATAAACAATAAGGAGATAAACATTGGGATACCGGATGTTTATTTGAAGGAACTATTACTGCGGTGCACTTGCAATGTACAGTTTATGTTCAATGACGTAATTTATAGACAGAAGGACGGTATAGCAATGGGATCCCCTCTGGGTCCGTTACTTGCAGATTGTTTCATGGCAAGTTTAGAAAACAATCAACTGAAAGAGACTATAGAGAAACTTCACTTGTATAAAAGATACGTAGATGATATCTTTATCGTTTGTAACAACAAATATGACTTAAGTCATCTTCTGAAGACATTTAATAATTCCCACCCATCAATAAAATTCACATTAGAAGTTGAAAACAAACAAAATATTCACTTTCTTGATGTGGAAATGACAAGAAAGCAAGACGGTACTTTAAAAAGATCTATCTACAGGAAACCCATGTGGAATGGCCAACTATCAAATTTCCACAGCTGGGTTCCCATCAGCCGAAAAAGAAACCTAATAATAACGCTCGCTACAAGAATACGAAGAATCTGTAGCCCCGAGGTCGTAGATGAGGAATTGGACCTTTTAAAGGAGATACTTATCAAAAACGGGTATCCTTCGATATTCATTGATAAGAATATGAAGCCAAAAACACAAATAATTACAGTAGAAAAGAAAACTTTATACACGAACATCGACTTCAAAGGTGATAGAGCCACATATATCTTAAAGGGGAGAATTTCTGATTCCTTAAAAAGAACATTCTTCGCAGCAACATTGCGAATATTATTCTTCAGCCGATCATTGTTCACCAATAATCTGAAAGATAAATTATCGCATCTGGCCAACTCAATGTGCATTTACCAATTTACCTGCTGTGTGGAGCTAGGTATATAGGTCGTTCGATGCGCACTTTATCCAAAAGAATTCAAGAACATTATCCGGCGTGGCTAAAAAGAGGAGGCAATGGCTCAATAAGAAGTTCTATAATTGTTGGGGTGATCCAGAAAATTGCTTGCAAAAGACAAGCAAGCATCAGAAAACACTAAGAAGCGTTTCATCCAATCAGCGTTCACTTGAAGTCTTAGCCAAAAATATCAAGGAAGCGAAACGTCACATGCAGAGGCTCTGATTGGTTGGCTGCTACACTGCTACTATGTTTAGTAGCATTCCAGAATCTTCTAGCAACCCAAGGACATTTAAAATATTATAAAAACCCTGTATTTTCTGTATTAAAATGAACCTTGGAGCAAACTACTTCTCGCATACTTTGAGTCTTCTCCCTCGTGTTCAGGTCGCTGTATAGTTCTAGCTTGGGGGTTACAGAATAGCTTAGGAGACGAATATAGCGTTCAATCTGCAAGACCTATCAATAATCGAACACCTTGTGAACACAGGTCATTCAATCAAGACAGACTCTGCGTTCAAAGTTATCTACAAGGTAAGTAGAAGTCTTCCTAAGACCAATTAGACCGCATCTTCTCTGCATTGCCGAAGCAATAGCCATACATCTGGAAAAACCAGAATTGTGTGTGCAAAAGAAACTGGTACAACCTCTTCTTCTACCATGGTCTTAATGTATTAAAATCTTTTTCTCTTTTTCATACTCTTGTTCCTTTACAGTCATCTGCTTCACCTTCCATCTTTCCTTTAAATCTTCTACTCCCAACTGGTTTGTTTTTATTTCCACGACCATTCCGATTACATTTCATCTCTGTTTCAACATTGTATTTTATCATGCTGAGCCATCCTTTCCCAATGATAATTTCCCTATCTGTCTTTTGATGAATACCTAAGCCAATAACAATCAAACGATTATTAAATTTTGCTTGTTTTAAAAGATCTTTTTATTTTATTTTTTAATGCCTCTGTTTATTTAACCTCACTATCACCATGTATAACAACTTTATTATCAGTATTATTATCATCCTGTAAAAATAAGTATATATATTTGCGATTGTAAAGCTTTGAAAATGAATTCGCCGAAAAGAGAACTCTTCGCTGAACTGATCTTTCTTTTTTAATGTGTTAATGGATGTATTCCTATGAAGCCGTCCGATGAATATTGCCGTTTTGTAGTGAACGAAGTCTTTGTGGGGATAACCAATCTATTTTTTGATGAAAACTTACAGAGTGCTGTATGAAAATACGATAACCGTATATTTAATACCTGATTTGCACATTTTCCTTTAGTGTTCGTTTACAGGCTTCATGATTTTTTCAATCTTGTTTTTATTACGATTACTTTGTTTCCCTTTCTGTCCTCTTCAATTGAATCTTTTCAATCTCCTGTTCGTATTCGTTCAACTTCCGATTAGCACTACATACTACTTATATCTGTCAACATAGGTAGTATAGACCACTATATGACCGGAATTTTCGTAGCAAATAACTAATCAATACTTTGTTGTGGTTATGAGTTTATTAGGTGAGGTCCATGAAATGAGTGTAAGCGAGAGTAATGCCTGTCTTGTGTTTTATTTTGATAAGTCTTGTCGATCGAGCGCTTTATTCGTTTTCGTAAGCTATTCTGGTAGCCCGCAGTCTAGAACTACACAGCGACTTGAACACCAGAGAGAAGACACAAGTATGAGAGAAAATACTTTGTCCCAAGGTTCATTTTTGTACAGAAAATCATAGGTATTTATAGATGTTGGCATCTGTTAAAACATCATATTCCAACCAATCCGTTAACGACATATTATGCTACCGACCAATAGTAGCACGCCGCGTTGGAGTTCTAGAACGTTCCGTCATACTCTGATTGGCTAGGGCCCTTCAGCTCCTTTGAAGTTCTCCGGAAGCCGACTCAACATATTTATCGAAGTGAATAATGTGGATGATAACCTTCTGAAATTTTTACGTGCTTAACTTCTCGATGTGATTCCAGTAAAATAATTTCATTTTCACGTAGTTTAAATAGGTGTTTAATTGTTATAGTGTTACAATGCCTGTAAATGTCGCGGTGATTGTTATGATCTCGGTGTCAATTAACAGGCGATATTAAGCAGTGTATCTACGACCAGTGTGTTTTTGGGTGACACACTGGTAACCATTGATCACTGACAAATGTTTATGTTCACACCACTCTATTTTTATTGCTGGATTAATTCTTTAATTGTCCATCAACGGAATGTGTTTTTTGATGTCGTAAATTACTTTCGCACATGGTTTGTTGATCAGTTAATCAGTTTGGTGATCGATTGTTGATCGTTAACTTCTCGAAGAGAATTTAAATTGTTTCAGAATTGATACATGTATCCTCACAATCCCGATTTCGGATAGTTATTTTCCATAGAGCGTAGACGTAATATGAATTTAGTCATTTGAGGCTTAAATAAGTTAACGGCTATTTCCAGGCGGCATTGGGAAATAATGTCTCCGTTAGCCTAAGAGAATGTTATAGGAAAACAATAGTTGAAGATTTGATTCTTAGGATACCTAGTAATTTCAGCCGAGTCTTGGGCGTTACGTTTTTTTGTAGATGTTCATTTGCGGTGTTAATCGAAAATTTCCATCTATTCCCTCTGTTTATTGGCGTAGCATTCATATTCGTATTTCATCTTTTTCCATTCAGTTTTATGCACACTATATTGTCATAGGGTTTAAATCACGAAATGATCTTATCTAAATCACCATTTGAAACTGAGACGTATTAGACAGCCGTTTTGTCACAGTATGGGACTGCTCAGCAGTGTGCATCCACAACCCTGCCTCAGGCAATCAAACCCAAAACCTTTGGTCTCTCGAATGCCTAAACTAAAAAACAATGGAACAGGCATTCAACGATTTTATTGTCCAACTTCAATCGCTTCATGATATTGCGTGACTGCGGTGAATAAATGTCTTACACCTGACATGATTGTACTCCACTAATCACAGCTTCCCACTTTAACTTCAAGAATCGCATCTTGAAGATAGTTACTAGTGAGAATATGATTGTTGTCAGTTTAAGGTTTTGGTGATGATAGAATCTTCATATTCTATAAATCACAAACTTATTTTAGACAGACCACCATTGGAAACCACGGTTGTGAATACTCACTTTTGAGGATCACAATATTAGGACTAAACGGCTGTCTGGTGATTCCCAGTTTTCCGTGATAATCTAGTTAATACCAACTCGTGATTTTCACTGTCCTATCAAGTTCTTTTGTATTATTCATTGATGTATATATAACACATTTCCATAGGCCCTTGCTTTGTATTACCTTTTCCCCCTAGTAAGTTGTAGTTTTCTTCATAAATGAATGTTGTTTTCTATACTTTACCGAATTTTTGTTTATATTTTTTAACACGCTCACTTCCTAGTTTTGTTCACTATAATATTTTAGGTACTTCATCATACACATGAAGGGTTTTATATCATGGCTATTCGTTTTTCTCTTTTAAAAAAAGCGATTTTCACCATTAGCTATTTATTATTAGTCATAAATTATCAAGAACGATGCAGGTTGTAGTCGTTACACATTGATCTCCGTTGCGGTATCACTTAAAACCTAAAGAGCGCTGGGCAACAATAATACCCTTATAATGAACGAGGACCTAGTTGTTAAATGCAAAATCACACGTTGGCTCAGTAAAATCCGAAAATCACATATCAAATACATCATTTGAAAATCTTTGCATTGTACTGTACGATACTCCATTATTCTTCGGATTTTGTTGTTCCGATTTCTTTTCTGTTCTCTTTACTTCAATTTTCTGCTGCAAGATATTCCACATCCGACTGCTGCTACACACTACTTGTATCTGACAACATAAATAGCATACACCACGCGCTAACTGTGGTCAGTCTGTGATGACTAAAACCTAAGTCGTTCTCCACAGATCCCTTTCAACTAAACTGTTAGAAAAATATGTTTTTTTTCTTTTTGATTAACTTTATTTTGTTGTTATTGTTCATTCTAGTTTGTTTTCTCTGTATGGGTTATTATGATTCTGATACATGCTGTGGATATAGTCCAATTATTTCTCAATATCTATGTCTACATAAGTAGTTTACTATTACAGTCTTCTACGTCACACAGTTGGTTCACATTATCTTCGTATACCAGTGATAATGATCATTATAATACTGTTACTACTACTGTTGTTAATAGTAGTGATATGAATGGTCACTATATACCGCTCTCTGTCAGTGAACCTCCCTTTATGAATTCATCTGTTTTTTCCTCATCATCTTTTGTGAATTCATCTATTCAATCTGATTCCCAAGAAAATTTGTTCAATATTAAAAACGTTAGCATGATCGATCAAGAAGATTCTGTTGGTGAACATATGAATGTTTCTTTGGATCAACATGAAATAGATCTTCATGATGATCATCATTTTCTTCATGAACGTGATATCTCAATTCAATTCGATGTTGGTGTTGATGATGATATTAAATCTCAAATAAATATGCTCAATATTGTTCATCATTTACAATTGAATGAAATGACACAAAACAATTTCACTTGGAACACAATGTTTATTTGGAATTATTTAGCTTATTCGTACTGGCCATCGTTAGCAAAACACTATAATTTAAGTTTGGTCGGTTGTCATTTAGCATTGTTAGAACCAGTTCATTTAAAGTATAAGCTTCATATGATTGATCCAGATCAAGAAATTGAAAAGTCTGATATACAATCTGATCAGTAAGTTGTTTATTTTATCATCTGTTCAAGTAACATATATTTTTTGTTGTTTGGTTCTATGACCTAAATAATTTAATTGAGGAAGTTTAATCGTCGCCCTGGATATCACAGTGAAGCAGGCACTGTTCAGATCGACAATCAAAGTTCTTTAGTTAAACAGTCTACTTTAGGGAGCTCAACAACACTAAAATCATCCACAAAAGATGAAAATATCCATCGTTTCAAACTTCCTATGTGTGGATATATATCAAACATATTTCCACCTACATTAAAATGGAGGTCCCTAGAAATTATGGACGCTCATCTCCATTATTGGGTAACAAGTAATCTGGATGATTTTTTGTATTTGTGTGAACCGTAGCTTTGAGTGATTGTCTTTGTAGACTGTGTAGGAAATTACTAATTAAAATATTTCTACAAAACAGTTTGTAAAAGTACCATTCCATGTTATTTTTATATGAACATTCTCTTGATTATTTAGCATTCAGGTGTATGAATATTATGTTTTAAAGTAACAAACAACGTCATAATTATGATGAGCATAAGGCAACTATTAGTTTGATAAAGCCATTAGCAATTAATAGGTGAACGTTAGTGAAAACAATTTGATTTGCGTTTTCTACTCATTAGAGAATACAAATGTTTAATAATAATGAATATCACTCACTTGATCCCCAAAGTTTTTAAAACCATATAATTGATTTTCATTGTAGAGGAGAAAGTATATATTTGCGACTGTATAGCTTTGTAAATAAATTTTCTGAAAAGCGAACTTTCACTGAACAAATCGTTAAACAGTCTCATCAGTAGCTGAACCATATCACCATGAATTTCGCTGATTCACCACTCCACTGACTTTATGATGATGACTTCTCATGACCGATAAATCTAGAAAAGATTCGTCTGACGATCAGATGACCAATTAGAGTTGTGAATATTTAATTAGTCTTGTAGTGTCGGTTACTATGTTATTTATTTATTATTTAATTATTTCAATACATAAATATTGGTACAAGAGGGCACCAAATATATATGCGCCACACGATATTTGTGTGTGTGTGGGCTGTGATACTGCCCGGGTGCCCAGACCGAAGCGGGTGGTTTTCTTAGAGGGCCACACCCCGAGCCTTTGACCTAAAGGTCTAATCCACAAGGCAGTGGAGCATCGTGAGAAGATGCATTCCCATGGTAGCCGGTGACCAACGATTGTTTCATACGCCATTTGTTCCCTCAGGATACTGGAGCCCATGTGCACCATTGGTTTGGGATCCGGTTAAAGCACCGGACATTCGCTTTTCGTCCTCTCATTTTCGTAAACACCAGTAATGCCACGAGAAGGCAGTGAGTAGGACTTCCCTGGTAGAGGCTATATACACGTGGCCATGTGAGAGCATTTCGAGAGGGAAGGCGGGTACACCCCACTCTCGGTAATACCGAGAGTGAAAACGCGACTCAAGAATGGGTAAATTGGCATGTCCAGAAGCTAGAATAAGTTACATGGGCTTAACATAGTAACCGGATCCCAAACCAATGGTGCACATGGGATCGGTTACTATGTTAAGCCCATGTAACTTATTCTAGCTTCTGGACATGCCAATTTACCCATTATTGAGTCGCATTTTCAGTTTGTTAATTATTCACTTATCAACCTTGACTGTTTTTATATGAGCGTATGTATGTGTGCACTTCTTATTCTATTCATCACATGTCTGTAACTTATTTTTGTGTGACTATAAATATTGATTCACGCCTAATTAAACTGAGTTGGCTCATATTCCTTCTCCACCGCTCATCATTTCATTTCGCTTCGTTCCTTTGGTCGTCTGCCTGGATCAATGGTTGTACAAAATATAAATATTCGAAATCCTTTTTTGCATGTGACTTATTTTAATTCTGTTGTTCACTAACGCGAGTTAAGTCGATAATTATATACAAGGATAGCCAGGCTGTACATTTTGACAGCAATCATTAAATAACGATCATTTGTTCGATATAACTGGAGTCAGATATCGGGCCACTAAAGTCTTTTGCTTAAATATTTTATTATTGAGAGATAGGTATAATATGTAGAGATCGTCTTCCATACTTAAATTAATAATATTATTACTATTTCGAAAGTTTTTGATGTTCTGTGTATATATAATGTTTTATTGTTTCATTGTGTAAGTAACACGTAGTTGATATCATTTCTTCTGTTTTATAAGCTTGTATTTCATCACAATAGTTTTAAATTTGTTATCTAACTTCATCATATATTCTATTCCATTATTCATCTTATTTTCTTGCTTTGAAATAGAAAAGAATCTATATCGTATGTATCGTTTGAAAATGAACGTACATTGGATGAACATAATCATTTACACTTTATAAATGATGATAATAATATACTTATATCGAATGTAGAAAGAAAACGTTTACATGCATCATCGACATCACCTGGGGGTTTTACTGGTTGGACTGCACGACTTGGTTTAACTGCATCTATGCTGGGCACTAGTTTGTTGGGTTGTAGTCTGGTCTTATTATTGACTTGTTTAGGAATGATTTGCTTACAGTCCAGGTTAGTTAATGGTAATTTTCGGTATAAATTCTGTGAGATTATATCATATATGAAACTATGCTTGTCAGTTATATAAAATTCTGAATTGCTAGGTTAACATGTTTGGTTCCCAATGAAGACATTACGCATGCTTTTCCATTTTAACAAACCAACTAACCCTTCTATTGTTTAGTTATGTGATCGAGTTAGTCTGTCAGACAGAATGACCAACTTTTATGAATGTATAGTTTATTCTTGCTTAACATTGTATCAGAAATGACTTTTTTAAATTAAGTACAGTATATCAAAATACCTATCTTCAGATTACCAATTTATATCGGTAAAGGAAACCGTAATTTACTAGAGTAAAGTCATCTATGAATTAAAGCTTGTTGTTAATCATAGATCTGTTGGTTGTCGTTTTTTCTTCAATATTTTGTTATATTGATCGATTTCGTTCGTATCCAATTGAATAATATGATAAGCTAATATTTTATCTAATTCCAAATAAAATTCTATTTTCTCTAAAATGGAAGTGCGCTTCACTTTGAACTTTTTATGTGTATTAACTTTGGGTTTTTTTCCAGTCATTTGCTACCTAGTATCACATTATATGAGTAATAATTATAGGAATATTTTCTTTTAATAAATTTATTATCGTTATACACGGTGAAATTGTGCTATTATGTTAATTTTTGTTATCGTCCATAAACTATGAAAGTTCTGCGCATCAGTAGATTTAGATTTTCTCAAGTAATCACGTTTTTATTTTTTTTTCTCGTACACTATATCAAGTCTAGATAATATTGCGAATTAACCTACCTCGGCTCTCGTAATAACGTGATTGTTTATAATATACCTGACAAAATCCCCATTAAAACTGTAAGGAATTCGATATTAAAAGTATCTAACCTTCAAGACAGTCCATGCCAATGCATTCGACTTAATAAAAAGCACCAGAAATACTCGTGCCCGGTCTTGTTCAGATTCGATTCTCATATATTAGCTGAACAGTAAAAAGAATCCAAGCGGCTAATCTGCGCGCTTACGAAGTTTAGAAACGCTCGTATAGTCTCAGATAAGACCACTAATCAAAGGCTTACGCAAAAGCGTACCTTGAACGAAAATAAAGGTATTGAGATCATAATAAATGACGATGCATGAGCTGCTGGATCCACTGATGCAGCTATCCTATCTCATGTTATCCAGTACTCTGATTTACCAACGATGAGTGCTAATTTGCTTATTATGCCTGTAGTGACATCTGATAACCATTGTACATCTAATGACGACACTAATCCGATATTTTCCAGTTTACCATTAGAAGCCCATAAGCAAATACTTAGTTCTAATGCGACAGCTCTTAAAAACACTCAAGATTAAAAAGTCTATGCCACGTAAGAAGAATGTATGTACAGGACCTTCTGGTTCATGACTCAATAACAAAAATATTACGATGGCCCTACCAAATGAAAATAAGAATGTACTTCACGACACCATGCTTTACCCTACGCATCGTAGGGGAGTTTATAAGGACACACTTGATTCAAATGTCTCACAAGATAGCCACTGCAATCATTATGTAAGCAGGCCTAAAATTGGACAGACCACAATGAACCAACGCATCCTACGGTTATCCTCAAACGTTTTAAATAACATACCTGTAAGACGTAACTATTCTCAACACTTTCCCTTTCGGCAAGATGGACTACTAGGCTACTCACCATCAACCCAACTCCAACTAGCAGGTGCCTGTCTTAACTGTCCGCCTAGTCAAGTTCAACAAATTAATCCACTTTATCAAAATAATGATTTTTTGGCCTTCAGAAATCCCTGGTCCCACTAGCGCTACAGTTTGTTCAAGCGATAGCCCATGTGATCAGTCAAACATAACAAACCACAGTCTATGCAAATCTAAACTACACAACATCAATAGGGAAGCTCTCGGTTTTTTTTACACTCCATACTCCCTTTTTAAACTTATTACTTATCAATGCCGTTCACTTATGAACAAAATTTCAGCCTTGGAAACATTAGCTTTTCTAACCAAACCTTCTTTCATACTTATCACTGAAACATGGTGCTCTCAAGCAATATCTGATTCAGAATTACATATCCAGAACTATCGATTCTATCGCTGTCGCAGAATAACTAAGCGAGGAAGTGGTTGTATCATATATGCTTTGGATACCCTAACAACTAATAAAGTTGAAGATAGTGTCCTGAATAGTTTACCAGAATCAGTCTGGATATCAGTCAACAATCTGAATCATAATCTACTCCTTGGATTTATATACAGAGCTCCTGATAGTTCGAGTAATGGGAATGATCTTATTATCAATGCATCTTCTCTAAACTTGAATGCTAAGGTTATCACTGGGGATTTCAATTATCCTGTGATTAACTGGAGTATCGGTAGTTGTCAGTCATGTAATGATGAGTTCTTGGCAAGCATTAACATGCACTGCTGGTCACTGTGGGTTCGTACCCCAACTAGAGGCGATAGTATACTCGATCTAATATTTAGTAGAGATGTTATCCAACCATCTGTAAAAGTGTACGATGAATTTGTAAGCAGTGACCATAAGATAGTAGTTTGCGCTCTCCCTATCTATCCCTATTATAACCGACCCATTCAAAAAACCTGTCAATATAGAGACTATAAGCTTGCTCGCTGGGACCTCCCGCATTCACTGATTAAACTTTCAGACTGGGATAACTTTTTTTCATGTAATAGTCTCATGGATGCTATCGATGAACTCTATCTGATCGTTAACTCTTGTTTAGATTCCTGTGTACCTCTTAAAACGTACAAGTTTAGTAAACCCTACGAATTATATATACCAGCTAAATATCGTAATAAACTAAGACGTCTACAGAATCGTTATTCTAAGTCAAAAGACTTCACGGCAGTTGCACAAATAACAATAATTTTTAATCAAATTAAAGAGAAACATAGGTTAAAAGCTATTAATAAGGAGATGCTAGCACTTAATACTAGCTCAAAGGTACAAAACGTAACTCCTTTTCAATAAACGCGCTAAAGCAACTCAAAATGTTGATATACCATGCGTCCAGCATAATAGAACTTTTATATACGACTCTAAAACTGTAGCAGACCTTTTCAGTGGTATTTTTGCAAATGGTGTAGAAATCATAAGTGGCTCTGCTTCAAGAGTTATGTGCGTGACTAGCAACTCAACAAAATCTATCTCCTTCACATGCATGAAAATTAATAAGGCTATAAATACCCTTAAGCTTTCGAGAGGTCATGGAGCAGTTGGGGTTTCATCCTTTCTCTACAAATATGGTGGTCCAGATATTCCACTTCTAAAGCTGTTTACTCTCTCCATGGAAACGGGTTCTTACCCTTACTGTTGGAAAACCGCGTACATCATACCACGTTAAAAATCTGGAGATAAGACTAACATGAACAATTATCGGCCGATAAATATTACTCCAGTTATCTCGAATTATGGAAAAAATTATAATTGATGAACTTTCCAACTAGTTACTCGCTGGAAAATTTATCAATGATACTCAACATGGATTTTAAAAAAATCGATCTTGCATGACATGTCATTTTGACTTCTTTAATTTAGTCTATTCTCTACGTAGCCAATCATGTCGAGTCTTAGTGCTATATCTGGACATTTCTAAAGCCTTCGATATGGTTAGCCACCAACTTCTTATAGGTAAACTCGCATCTCATGGGGTTCAAAATCGTTTGCTAGCTCGGTTTGATTCCTTTCTCAGCAATCGACATCAAATAGTTAAAATTAACTCTTCATTGTCTAACGCTGTCCCTGTTACAAGTGGTGTAATACAAGGTAATGTCTTAGGCCCTTTGCTCTTTTTAGTGTTTATCAATGATATTTGTAAGTTTTTGTGTGAGTAAGCCCCTTCTATATGCAGATGATCTTAAAGTAGTATGTTCATTTTCTCCACATGAGCTGAAAAATATGCAAAATTGCATCAGCATGGAGCTTAACAAGGTAGCACAGTGGTGCTTAAAATGGCAACTGGAGCTTAATACGGTTAAATGTGGATGGATATGCTTCGGAGATACATCACTCAACCTAGACATTACCATAAATGGAGAAGTGTTATTTAGGTTACATACAGTAGTAGACTTAGGACTTAGATACTCCCAAGACTTATCGTTTACAGAACAAATATTAAAACAGACCTCTAATTCTCAACGTCCAATAGGTTACATAAATCGAAACCTTTACAACACTGAGTCACATATTCTAATGTACAAAGTTTGTGCTTGACCTCTTCTAGAATATTGCACGTTTATTCTTAGCAGTGCGCGCATAAAGGATAAATTAAGGCTAGAATCAGTACAGAGACGATTTACACTTCGTATTCTTGGAGCTGATTGTACCTTAACTTATAGTTCTAGATGTAATAAACTTGGGGTAGACCCTTTATGGAGGAGGAGACTCAAACTAAATCTTATCTTTTTCTTCAAACTACTACATAAACTATCGTTTACACCCAATCACGCGATTCAATATGCAGAAACTTCTCATTATGACATCCGTAATTCCTTGGCACTAGTGAAACAAACTCATTCCAAATCATCTCTTTATATGAATTACTTTACCTGTAAATTTTCGAGACTCTGGAATAACCTACCACAATCTGTCCGTACGATAAAATCACTCCCATTATTTGTTCGCTGCATCGATGCATACTGCTCCTCTGAAAATGCACTGAATGTTCTAGCACCTGTAAGTGTATCTCATTCCACAAGTGAGATTATAGGAACTTTAGATGTTTAGCCATTTTTATTAGTGCATTCTCTAAGTAAAACCACCTACTTGCTGTCACTTTATGTCAACACCGTCCCTAGCAAGTTTAACTAATTTGAATAACATCAACAGTATATCACTGTGTCACATGACACACGCATTTTGGTAGACCTGATTCATATATTTCGGTAATTACTGCTTTGTTGTTCCGTGATCCCTGTTTTTCTTTTAATTTCCCTGGTTGTAGATAATTATCATTAATTCGATCTAGCACACGAAATGACCCTAATTACACCGTTCATAAATCAACAGGCTGTCCATTTAAGAAAAATTAAAATTTCCTGGCTGATGCATTGGATCGCTGTAATACATGTACTACCTAAACAATTACTGAACTAGTATACTTAAGACTTTCTTCTATCACATGTTTGTTCTGTACATCTAATGTTACTATTTATATCAAATTGAACATGCCTGTAAACTGGCGTGAATTCCGTAATTATTATTTTCAGAAGATATAAATTATTATTATAAGAACATTAGGTTTCACCGTAAATGCACTAAATTCTAAAGTATTATCTATGATTTTAATACAAAGATGTGTAGGAATCTGGAAACAGTTCATCTCCCACCCGTAGCCTATCATTTATTTACTTAACTTTTATCTCGAGTTTAGTAATAAAATTTTGTTTTATTATTGCGCATATCAACTATCTTTACGGGATATTCAATGTAAACTTAATTGACTGTTTTTCTGTCATCACCACTAACTTCTCTATCGTTTTTATTGTCTGGTCTAAAAAATTATTATTATTATTTTTATAGGTCATCAAATTCTACCAAACGTGAACCAATAATACGTGTTCTACCACTGACTATAGATCTTGTCAATAATGTGACAACAACAGATTCAATGGATTCAGACTATGATCAACATGATTGTTTATTGTCACCTGAATGGACTGTAGCATGTGGTCAAGTATATTATAAAGATAAAAATAGGGATGTTTGTCCTCATGGACTACTAGCAGTGACGTCTGTTCGGTCATATATCCGCATTAAATCATATCATTCGAGGGTTATCCAACTGTGGTGTGCTGACTCAGGAAATCTTTTATTTGATTTAAAAAGGTATTGTTTTTTGTTTATCCCTAAAATAATTGAATTTACTGTAATCACTGACTTTTATTAACGTTTAGATACAGTTTACAAGTAATCGATGATTAGAGAGGTTGAGTGACATGGCTGAGAATCATTTTCAGCAGTACACGTCTATTCACTTTTTGTCTCTCTAGATCTTGATTTCGAAGATTATCTTTTACATTTCTATTCGGCGAATTTCATTGTTTCGTCTCGAATAATATTGTTTCTGCTCGATGCTAATCGGTTTTTTCATTAATATGAAAAAAACGAATTTTTGATCTTACACTATCTAGTTGTTCAACCATTTTCTTTTTCTGTTTAGGAAATCATTAACAGTAGTAATTCTGCTGTATGCCTCTAATCAGACTACTTATTATAATTCTTCCAATGTTAAAATTAGTGTAGTATTCAGTTTACTTTTACGTAGCATTGTCAATTTTTACTTGATAGCTCTATAGAGAAAGCTTAGTATAAGTACGTAGAGCTCAAGAGAAATGCCCAAACGACACCATAAACTCATTTCACTCGACATATTGTCCATAAACTCTAGTTCTTTGTTTATAGTGTCGTCTGGGCATTTCTTTTTAACTCTACTTGCAGGGCATCTAACTAGATCCATCTTATTATAACAAACAGATGCGAAGCTAAAGAAACGTGTTTATTGGTATGCTAATGCAGTTTTTCAATACATTTCTGCTAATATCATCTCTTTTGTTGAAGCAGCTCTTCACACTTAAATTTGATTGCTAAATGTTTACTTGTACTTCTACTCTTGACTGACAAGTGAAAAGCGCATTAGTATTTTTCTATACTAAATTCCCAACTCATATGAAAAAGATTTGACTTTTGAAAAATATTCATTATTTCACTTTAAAAACTGTCTATGATATGACAATGGAAAAATAACATTCCATCAATTAACCTTAAAATTGAGTTAAACAGTATGTTTTACTCGTAAATAGATCAATGAGCTTATAATCGCGTAATCTAGCAGTACCAGTGAAATGAATATACTTGATCTCGAAGCTATCAAGTTCAAATATGCAAGAATAATTTGTAAGAATTTAGAGTTTTTCTCCACATGTCCACTTTAAATATCCAACAGATTCCGAATGACTTATAATGCCTCAATCACATTTCATCTGCCGTCGAACGTGCTCTTCTGTTTGAAGCCATTTAAAACGCCTGGGCGCTATGTTTCGGATCTCCCATCCAAACCCATTTTTTAGTCAGATCTTAAATCAGTTTATTATTATTTATTTGAACACATAAATATTGGTACAAGAAGGCACCAAATATATGTATCAGTACGTCACACAATATTCCAAATTACCAACAGTTTTGATACAGACTTTTAAATCGTATTTCGTAATTTAATTTATTTATTAAGACATCTAAGTATTTGGTCTTACAGATTTCCTAATTTCTTCCTATCTGAATTATACGTGCACAACCTCTGTTGTTTATTACACTGAATGATATCTTTCTTGTTATTACTAGTGTTCTTGTCTAATCAAATGTACTCTAGATCATTTGAAACAATCTTTATTTTCAATGATAATTAGTCTTATTTTCTTGTGTTATGGGTAGAAATTCCTGTATACAAATTGTGTTTATGATTTTTTAGGTATTCGGAAGAAGCAAACACTAGACGAAATAACTTGCCGTCGTCTTTCGCATGCCGAAAATTTTGTAAGTACTTCCAACTGATATGTCTTGTTTTTCGTTCTTTTTTTTAGTATCTATGATTGTCCATCATTAGATCCTAATTTGTTTGTATGTATGTGACACCTGCCTCGTTGTTGTGATTATTATCATATAAAGGGACCAAAGTCAAGGAAGCACATATTTGACGTCAATCCCGTATTGACAGTTAGTTGTCTTTATAGTTTTGATGCTTACGCGTTGGTGGGGCTATGGGTAAATGGTTAGGCCATTAAACTTTCTAATAAGTCTGCTAGTTCAGACCTTGCTTCGCGCATTTCGTTTTGGGCACCCGGGTAGTGTCGTTAGATCTCAAACTTACAGTGTGATTTAAAGCTATGTTCAAAAATCTGAGTTGATAAAATAAAATTATGCACTGAATATATGATTTACGTTAAACAACAAAACATGAGATCATTGAATCCATAAAGAATTATGTTTTAAAATATTCATTTCTTATATTGCGTGTTTTAACAAAGGATTCATTTATAAAACACAGTACCGTTTTATGTATTTTAAATCTAGGTTTTTGTTTGACATTTACTCTACAGTTAATGTTTAATCTGGATTGATATCATTAAGCCCGTGTTGATTTCAAATACAAAAATGTTTGAAATTTTAATGACAAATTGAATGTGTGTACAAATACTATCATTTGATAAGTTCTAACCTCAATGCTTCCCCATCCTCTTTAATGTATGGCCGGTTTTTCTATAGAAGATAGGTGCAGTTATTATCCACGGAATTGTGTACAGCTTTGATTTGGTCATGGATAAGGTCGAAGCCTTTCTCACGTATAGTGGTTGGCAGTCCTCGATTTTAGACATCAGGTACTAGGTTATGATGGGACATCGATCGGTGTATGTATGTGAATCTCCATTGAGTGAAACGATTAGGATATGTATTGCGAAATCCAAACCACTGGTTATATGAATGCTAATGTCAGACAAAGACGCAATATCACCCAAGTACACAATTGGTCATCGTCACAATCGCAACCAGTGGTCACAAACAAAATATGGATCCAGAAACGATTTTCTTACTTATGGCCAATAACACTGAGTTTAGTAGCTCAGCTATTGTATGTCTTTAGTGATCGATTGCCCTCGCAGAATACTACCCTCTCCCAATGTACTGGGTGGACCAAGCAAGTATTGTTCTGTGTTATTCAAATTTAAAAGCTCACAAAATTGTATATAATACATATCATACAAAGTTACAACTCACTATGAATGACAAATTTTGGCACGCATACATGACTAGAACATTTTTGGTTTAAAAGTGAGTTGCAGGTTTATGATAAATTTGATATCATTTATGGATGTTAAGAGGCGATATGTCAAGAGTTAAGGGGTCAGACACAAGATTACAGTTAGGACAGTGTAACAATACTATAAATCAATTGCTTAATAAGCAAGCATTGGAAATGTGTATATTTATTTCCCAGATTACAAACTTCTACATTTTCAATTAATTACCGCAGCTTAACAATACTTGGAAAAGTATACTTCACTCATTTCATTTGAAAAGCGTGCATATTATGTGTTATGATTTGATTTTCAAAATGTTAAAATGTTTATTAGCTACCATATGGTGCATGGATTTCTTGCCACAAGGACTCTTGGTTGTTGGATGCAGTGATGGGACCATTGAGGTAAGCATCAATAAATGTACTTTTAATTGTGTAGTTGAACAAATAGCTTATGTTATCCTCCTAGCAAATATTACAACTCCTGATCTAAACTTTGACAATTGGACTGAGCCATATTAATAGGTGTAGACTACCTGATTGAAGTTTGCTTGATTATCTCAACTAGCGATCAGAGCCTTTGAATGATATGGCTCAAAACCGTTTGCGGTAGCCCAGGTGCATCCATTCTTTGTTTTGCCTCAGATTGTGAACTTCTGAATTCCCTAGTATTTTTGTTTTTATTTCGTTAATTTGTATTTTTCGCGTCATATCTTCGATCCCCAATCTTTCTTATTATCACATACTGTTATTACTTCTACTACCCTGGGTTTCTACTTCACACTTTTATCCTTCTGTGTTAATCATGTGTGGCAACTAGAAACGATGTACATACGTACCATATTCCACGTTGCGGCTAACTGACCGATACAGCATTACAGTGCGTGAATTAAAGTCGAATTTAGAATCTGTAGTGTAGTCTTCTTTGTTAACTTGATGTCTTGTCATTTGTTGATCAAGATTCCATAGGTCGATCAAATATAATTTACTGGGAGAAATGATATGATAAATCATTTAAACTATGTTTGCTCTGGTATTTCCTTGCAATATTTACATTGTTGAATAAAATCATCAGTTATTTTTTTACATAATCTACCAATAATCTAATAAGTGCTACCATATTCATTAACTAATCGTGCATACTTTTTGGTCGTATTTTAACGTTATCGGCTTTATTTAAACATTATGGAAAGTAAATTATTCACTTTATCGCCATATCTATGTAAAAAGCTAATGTCAACATTAACTAATCTATTGGTTCTTTTGAATAAATCAAGAACTCAATATTACTGATCATGGTAACATTCTATTAATGTTCCACATGGATGATTGCTGAAATGGACTGATCCAGTATATACTTCATGTGTACTGATGGTTGATAATATAATATGTCAGTGAGAACGTCATACAGTCTATAGGATTACCTCTGAATTAAATAAGTGGTTCAGAAAACCAGGTTGTATCTCTAACCCCTTTATGTATGATAAAAAGATGTTACTAAATATATAATACGTAAATTATGTACTTTGTTATTCATCTAAATTTATTAAATTAACTAATCATTCTAAATACCATGGTGAAAAATACAGAAAAATAAAAGTTTGATACAGTTACAATTAAAATGTTTAAATAGTAAAGGATATAGACATATTGTAATACGTGGACTTTTCAAGTAGGTTAAAATATTAAAATATATTTTCAGAAGGTTTTTGTGAAGATTTTTTAGAAATTTTCACAGATTGAAATCATGAGTCAGTTGAAGCTGATGAGTCCCATACTAGGACGAAACGGCCGTCCAGTGCTTCCAGGTTTTCAATGGTGGTCTAGCTTCAACTGACTCATGATTTCAATCTGTAAAATATATTTGTTAATTGATATTAAGAAGTGATGTAGATATGCGTTATGGATACATTAAGTCATTTATTATTTTTTTATTTTTGTCAACTGATCATAATTCTGACCTGCAAGGAAGGCCCTGAGAACATTACGCCAACTTATATAATCCCACTGGTTTTGCTATTATCTGATCGGTTGCTTCGTCACCTAGTTTGCTATTTTCGTTTTATGTTCCAAGATCATAGTTGTTGTCATAAAAACTGAGTTATTTTGTCACAGTTTTGACCTCTAGGTTTGTCAAGCTTTCCTCAAGTTCCTGACTTCTTTATTCAGTCACATTATGAATATATTGTTAAAGCGTTGTGTTATAGTTGTCCGACTTATCTAATTCATTTATTATCTTGTTTACATTAAGAATAAAGACTGCAAAAAGCCTTTTGTGAATAGAAAATCTATAATAATTCTGCATTCCCTAAACTTATAGGTAGAAGAGAATTTTAAACCCAATGTCATAAGTATATTGTCTACCTATCTATTTATATCCATTTGTGATACAACTGAATTTTAAAGTTATTTTATGCTCTTTTAGAAGCACAACAAAAAAATGTCAGAACGCATGAGGTTAATATTAGATTGTGACAATGTGTATGCATTCATATATGTATTTATATCACCTCTTTTACAGATTTGGAACTGTGAATCTGGACAACTGTTAGATATTTTATGCTTAAACAACGTTAATAATGATCACTTATTGGTCAAGAAAGAAACACAGAATTCATCTTCTATTTCACATTCAAAGATACATTCTGGAGGAATAACAATAATGAAAATAATTGATGAATTAAGGTAACTAGTAATCATATGAAAAATTCTAAAAGTTTATCCCATTTTCATTAATCGTTAAATTCTCTTATAGTAAATTTATTTTTCTCATCCAATTACTATTTTTTCCCGTAACCAATAGTTGAAGACTGTGGGTGATATGGCTCAGAATCGACCACAATAGCGTAGGTGTATACACTATTTGTCTTCCCTTAAACTATGAGATTAAAATTATTTAATATCTTTCTTTTTGTACTATGTCCTTACATAAAATCTTTCCTTTATATATATTACACCATTGAGTTAACTGCTTCTATGAATCCGGTGTTCGTCTTGCTCTGCTAATGAGGTGTGACAACTTAGACCGATGTATGTATGTGCCTGGTCCTACGTTGTCACTGACTGACTACTTTTTCCAGTTTAAATATTCAAAATGTATTTTATTATGTAGGATTTTTTAAAATCAAGATTTGTATTTTGTAATTGAATTAATAAAGATAATGATTAAATGGTCAATAATGATCTTAATTATTACATTGTTCACCAGATTTTAAAATACTAAAAAGTATTTTCAAAACTTTAAGAAAGTTTTTTTCAATCGTAATAAATCTGGTAAATATCACTAGGAAATCGGTTGTGTGTTTTTCTTAAATAATATCGCGGCCTAGACTTTTTTATCATTGTAAATACGGTTATAAATTACACATGTCAAAATCTGGAAATACGGTAAAAATAAAAATTGTACTACTTTTCATTTAACATTGTTATAACTCGTTGCATGTGTACCCTGTTAATGTATAACGTAACGATACCTCCAATTAGAGAGCAGTGAATTATCAGTCAGTCAGTAACAACGTAGAACTTCGTACGTACGTACATCAGTTCGAGTTGCCACACCACATTAGCACAGAGATGCAGTTGTCGATTCAAATCCCGTAGTGGTAGAGGTAATAAGAGTATAAGCAGTAATCAGGAAAATTAGTGTTTGGAGATGTTATTTAAAGAGTATAATACAGTGAAATAAATGTGGAAAGAGGAAAAAAGGGACATGAAGAATTCAGAAGATTAGAATTTGGGAGAACACAGCGAGTGGATGCACCTGCGCCATTGCAAACGGTTTTGAGCCATGTCATTCAGGGTCTCTAACCATCGGTTACTATCATCTCGCGGTCCCCAACCAGGTAGTCTACACCTGCCAACATGACTCAGTTCACTTGTCAGTGACTTCATGGATTTGTGCCATGTTTTGGTCTGGCCGCCCCTAGCTTTCTTCCAACCTACTCCTATACTACTGAACATCGCACGTCGAGGCAGTCGGTCGTTGGGCATACGTAACACGTGTCCCAGCCATCTCAACTGATGAAGTTTCACTCCGTCATCAATTGATTTGCCATCCTTATTTAGTACCCGTTTCCTAACAAATACGTTACTTACTCGGTGGTCCCAGGATATACGAGCAATGTTTTGAAGACACCTATGATCGAATACTAGTAACCTACGAATATCCTCTACTCTTACCGGCCATGTTTCACTGCCATAAAGTAGGACGGAACGAACTACTGCGCAGTAAATCATTGTAGGAAGACTGATCAAAATGATCTATAGCTGAATATCAATCCCATTACTAATCACTGTTTAAAAACCTATCATACATCCATTTTGGATTGTTCACAATTTAGATCATTTTTGTTTTGTAAATGTGAATTTCCTGGCAAGTTTGGATATTTTGTGCCACGAATTCTTTATTATAATTAAAAATATATGGTTTTGAATAAATCACGAATATTATTATTACCATTAAATTTTCTAGATTTTGTATTGGAACTAGTCATGGTGTTGTAGCATATTTCAATGTAGTTTATACTAAAGGAAATTTGTTACCGACATTTTCATTAACTCGCCAATGGCATTCACATTCTCGTGCAATTAGTCAATTAGATTATTTGAAATATTTCAATAAAAACACAGTAGATATTCCAAATGATTTGCTTACAAATATAAATTTAAATCATATCGCAGTGCTTATAATCAGTGGATCAGAAGATGGTTGTATTAAAGTAAGTCAAAGTATAAAACAAATATAATTTTTTAGATGAACTCAATTTAGTGTAATTTAAACAGTGAATTTGGTATTAAAAATGCTGGCTCATTTATTGAATAATCGAATTTCAATCAGGGTAATCCGGATGTACTTCCATCCTGGAGTTCTCGTCCACCTGAGATGCAGGTACATCCTACTGATGAACTCCAAATAGCATGAAAGGCCCATCCTAGACTTCATTTCTAGTCGTATTCTGTCTATTCCATGTAAATCTGAGACATAATGGCTGCATCGGATCAAACTTCACAGGGTAATGCACTCTGCCGGTTAAGACTAATCAAAATATCAGCAACGGAATAATCCAAACCATTAGAAATTAACTGGAGATAGTGGTGTAGTGAACAAGAACATGAGTGAGGACAATCGAATGTATTTGACACGAAATTACAGAGCATCTCACTAAAATCTGAGAACCATATGATAAATAGTTAAACTGCAAAATGTCAATCCATCGTCTCAAACTTAACTGTTCCTTTTGCGAATATCAGTTCATTGTCTCAGATTTCATTGTTCATGCATTTTCATACCAATTGCGTTCCGTTCCCGTTCTTTCCTTATCGATCTTTTACTGAAAAACATTCTATGCCTGACCACTGTTATATACTACTTATGCGGACATAAGTAACCCACACTACAGTAGTAGTTTACAACGAATTTTTACAACCTCATTTATAGTGAGATTCTTTAGGAAAAGTTTTATTCATAGGAACCGATTATCGTGAAATAATATAATACAATAATAATCAAATGTAACACTATTGTTTTTACTATTCAATTTTATTCACTAATTGTGTATATTTTCTAATTTAGTTTTTCTCTTCTGAGTATGATTCTCCATTGTTTCATTGTGCTGTTGATACTACGCCTGTCCTTTGTATGAACTTAAATCGTGTAAGTTTACATATGATTGTTTAATCATTATTGTTCTACGTGAAATGGTTATAAGACCAATCAATTTGATATTGTAAACTAGTAGGTATTAGTACTCTTGTAATTTTCCACATTGTTTTTTGCACTGAGTAATTGATTAGTTATAATTCACTGTTTGCATATATATATATATATATATATATATATATATATATATATATATATATATATAAGAGAGAGAGAGAGAGAGAGAGAGTAGTAGTTGTAGTTGTTCGGAGTGTTTAACGATTTAAGGCAGAGTACATCATTTATAAACTGATTCAAGTTAACACATTATATTAAACAGCCCCAACATTAACAATCTGAATTGATTTTATATAACAAACAACAATTCTCAATTCACATATTACAATTTCCAAATGATGTACTCTGCCTTAAATCTGTCCAATTTTATGGATTATTAATTTGGATATGATAATTGTAGAACCTGATGAGAAATTTATTGGAAAGAATATTCTTCGTTCATCTAATTGTGTTTTAATATAATAGGAATTTTTCAGCGATTTAATTCCCTTTATTCAAAACAAAGTTGTTGAATCGAATAATTTCATGGCTACAATCGATAGAAATAATGTATGCTATAGCCTCCACTCTGTAATTCATGTTCACTGAAGTTATTTATCAAGCTAGCTGGTAAAATGTGAAAAATTTGTCTAAGCTCTTTCATTAGCGTTATATTATAAAATAGTTGTTTGAGTTTTATTTTTACTTGTTTGTTTTAATTTAGACCTGTTCACTTATTCCGTTACTCTTAGCTTGCTCTTGGTGTCAGCCATGCATCCGGATCATTATACGTTTGTTGTTTAGAATTACTTCACACGACGACAACCAATAACAGTGTAAATCTCAAGGCTAAAAATCAAATAGAATCTCTTGAGATACGTTTAATTAATCTCAGTTTACTTAGCAATGGTTTTGGAATTTCTTCAGAAATACAACAATTTGCAGCATCATCATCAACATCGGGGAAAGTTCAAAATAAAAAAGTGTCGTCGTACAATCATCTTGGATCAATAAACCTACGATTGTTTATGCGAAGTGATAGGTATTCTGATAAAACACAGAAAAGTTGTAATTCACTGTCAACCTTAGCAAATTATCGTCTAGTAACGTATGATATGGACGGTAGTGTGGTTATATGGGATTTGCAGCACAAATGTATAATACGGTCTTTCAAAGCTGTGAGTTTTCGACTTTTTTTAATCTATACGTAAACTTTTCACTCAAGTTGCCCTAAACTTTTTCAATTCTGTTTTTAATGGTTTAGTGCTCAATTGACTGAATCACCACTTCGTAAGAGAAGTCTTTGTTTAAGAATCATTAATATTGTGCGTTCTATAGATTGTTTAACGCAAATAACTTATCATACCTCTAGTAAATTGCTTTGATATTTAAAATATGCTGTACAGGCATAAAATTACTTTTTTAAAACGACTTTTAACTGTGGTGTTTGAAAGTAACTCTAAGTGGGTTTAAGCTGCCAAGTGGTATCACAATTCATCATATATACAATGTATTATGACACAACGTTAAGTGCACAAATTTGTACTGTGTTATCGAACTGTTATGGACAGTAATAATAATGAGTAATTTTTAAAAGGTCGATATAATATTTTTCACTCCTAATTTTTATATATACTTTATTTCATATAAAGATTGTATCGTGAAGCTCTACAAATATCGTACTACCGGAATCTTTTACTAAAACTAAACTTTATGAGTGAAAAAAGCCAATTTCTTGCTAAGCGAGCTACCTGTTTTCTCAATTTACGGTAAAATTTGAAAAATATATTTCACATTTAACATGTATTTACTCACTGATAAACCTTTCTGTTCTTTGGAAACAGTCAAACTCTTTTATCTCAATCGAATCTCTGTACTTTTTCTCTTCAAAATAAATTTTACAAATATTTCATCAGCTGTCGACGATATCCATGTGACAGTTCAATAAAATTGCATTCTTAGTGCATACGTCAATAATTAGTAATAAAATACATTTACATGATTAGATCAATATCGTCTTGACATAAGATGGTGGTTGGAGGTAGTCAACAGGAAACCCTGGACCTAGATTTCGTGTTACTTGGCGCTCGTCAACAAGGTGTACCTGTAATCTTGAGGGAAATGATACTCCCTGACGGATTCGATCCCATGTCACTCAGCTTCACAGTTAGAGGCGTTACCACTGGGCTATCCAGGCCGCGACTGATCTCTTGTAGGACTGAGATTTATTTACAATTGATTGATCACTGATTGGTGATCAACATCATGTATGTTAGGTCCTTCCCCAGTGCAGATCGAGTCACATCCCTCAAGATTACAGGTACACCTTGCTTGACAAGTGCCAAGTAGCACAAAACCTAGGTCCAGGGTTTCCTGTTGACTACCTCCAACCATCATCTTATCTTAAAATAGTACACGCTATGTCGAGTCACCTAGACTAGTAGCCACATTGCAACTTGGTCGATAGGATTCGATCTGCACTGAGAACAACCTGACACAGATGACAGTGATCACCAAACAGTGATCAATCAATTGTAAATCGCCTTGACAGTTAATCATACTGACTAATAAAATATACTCTTACTCTGTAAATAATACCGTACTTTGAATACTTTCTATTTATATTACGTATACCTTTTTTATTGTAGAATTTATCAACATTCAACATGTCCAGTTTATTACTATCCGTTGATGGACGTGTGGTTTTTGGTGATCAGGTCAGTAAACATTTTATCTTAATTCTTGTAAATATTCATGCTATAAATGGATTTTGTTGGAGAATAAGTTAAGTGTTATCATATTCATTTGTCTTATTTTTTATACCGACCATTCGTGCTTGTTAGTGTATGATATCAAACAATTGAGCTCCGTAGTTTAAGAAAATGTACCAATATCAAGTCATACTTAAAAAAAGCTTAGTTTAAATCGTCGGATTGACACCTAAATAATTTATCTCCGAATCGGGTCGAGATTTCACATCCAATGAATTTCTTAATAAATGCCATCGATGAAACACGAAAAAATAAGACCGAAGTAAGATAAAATGATCATCGCACAGCAACAATGTTTCCACAGTTCAAACTCGTGTCGCGAAAATAATTAACTAATCCTTATCCTTTCGCACTCAACAATATGTTTTTGCGTGGTTAGGATAATGGATACTTTAGTCAATAGCATGAACCTTGAACATCATGCCACAAATTTGTTGTTGTCAGTTCTATATTTGGTTTAGTTATAGACGATCGATTACTGTTTCGTTAATTAGATCACTTTATCTGACAAAAAAGTGTGACAATTTCTTTTAAATATGAGGCTTCATTATTCATGCGCAATACCTCTGTATCGAAATTCATGTATAGTTGTTTTTTTTATTATTCATAACCGCAAATTTATTTTAAACTAAAATTAAGGTGGAAAATCGTTGGTTGAAAATTTTGCGTACTAACCATTTGTTATTTTATGATGCCAATGACATGAAATAGTTTTGGTAGTAGATATAGTAAACGGATAGGTAAACTATATCGTCTCATAAACACCTACACGACAACAAAATATGATTGGTATTTACGAATATAGAGCAAAATGTTCCGACGAATCCAAAGACAGCTCCACCTGTTATATTTAAATTGAAATATCAAGCTTTACCGTCTGATTGGAAAGAATGAATGTCTATGGAACAACTGTGTTTCCAATAGTGGGAAAAATTAACAATCTATTTGAATCTGAATCCTATATAACTCCTTGATCCTTAGAAAAAGGGCCTTTAAACTAGAACTTAGATACTAAATATAGTTCCATTCCAACTTCTTTTCCATACCACTACGCTAGTAAATTCCTTCAATTGCTCATGATCTATATTCTTAAAAGCGAACCTCTGTGGTAGATGTGACAACTTTCACCACCATATCAAAATATTTGTGTCAAGGCATTTCGATATGAAGTCCGTCGTTGATGTTTTTTGTAATTCGGTAGAAAACAAACGAATAAACAACCATAACTATACAGTTTCAGAAATAAATAACACTAGCTCATTAAAACCTGAATACACCAGTTCCATGTTGTGATGCAGCCTATACAGATACGAAGTGCCCTAATTTATTATAGTAATTTACTGAATAACGCATCTTATGTATTCACAATTTCAAATTCCAGCCCTAATCTTGTCATTTTGGTGGCAGAATATATATATATATATATATATATATATATATATATATATATATACCGTGTTTTTTCTATAAGTGTATAAAGGTCACTGCATGGTACTTCGACCATTGTGTTTACTTCAGTCCTCTGATTGATTAACCAGCTCATTTACATTTTACCACTTACAATTTACTAATTAGTGGTTGTCTAACAACACCATAGTCTTTACTTTTCCTCTACTTGATAATATGGTCTGCCTGTATCATCTTGATGTATCTTTAAGAAGTTAAAGTGTTGTCGAATAAAAGCACAGTGATTTATGAATTTAATAACTAAGTAACAGGTTATAAAATTTTCAGTCATCTACATCAGTTTACGTAACTATTTAAGTTCCGCTGTTTTTTATCACTAAAATATACTTGTTTCTAATATACATTGTTTTCAGAGTTATCTACGAGTTGTAAATCCATGGACTGCTAAATATGAACGTTCAGTTCAACTTTTACCCCCATCATCTGTAAATATGAGAAATCCAAATAGTTCAAATTCTTCACATATCTCTGCTTTGTTACGTCGATGGATAAAAGAATTAGTTCCACTTGGTGTTACTGGTGGTGACTTTGAATCGTTCAAGTCATCTGAATTATACTTGATAACTAATCGAAATGATGAACAAGGAAAATTATCCCCAATTATCAGTATGAAAATGCCAATAAGAACTGGTGGATCATATGTTATCAGTATTGCTGATGGTGGACGAATATTAGTTGTAGTACCAGTGTCTACAATTAAATTTGATTAACTCGAATATTTTTTCTACCGATTCTTTCTATTTCTATAATATTTAAGAGATGTACAGTCTTCATTTATTATAATATGAATTTTAAACAGTTATCGTATTATTATGAAATATTAAGTAGTTTCGTTTCATCAGTTTACGTAATTATACATTGACCGTTAATCAAGTTTCTGCTGCTATGTGATTCCTGCATAGATTTTAATTGCGTAAACTTCAATGTTTGAGTTACTAAATTGATTCTAACAGTAACACGGCATTTTTACTATTATTTCCAATAAATAAATATTAAGAAGGTTTTGCATAAATAGTATTAAATTGCTGTTTCACCTTTTCTCCATTGGCATGATGATGTCAACTCTCTTTGAAGAGATTAATGTTTATCGAAAGATTTATAATAGGTCTCTGTATTTTATGGTACAAATGACAGTTTCCCAATAACAACTAAGAATTTGTGTTCATCTAATATTTATTAAACCGATAGGTAATTTTCAAAGTATTTTATAAATGATGGATTCTGGTGAGATATATAATTATTTGAATATTTATATTACGTAAAACCGGTAACTTAAAATAATTCATTAGCTCTTTTTGAAATATCAAGTACTTAAAAATCTAATATTATGTAGACAAATATCAATGGTGATCTAAAGTGAAACCAATTTAGTAATTTACTCAACATATATCTCATTTACAGATCAGACTGACTTGCGCAATTTCGATTTTTACTTTAGTTGAAGAATACCTATTTAATACAAAACTAATAATTGACACAACCCTTTAGAAATATATCGTATAAGTAATATTCTTAAATTTAATTTGAAGTCTTAGTTTTACAAACTATGTTTAAAAGTATGATCCATAAAACTTAATATATTTCACTGGAAAGTCTCATCAACTGATAATGATTATCAGCGCGAGGAACTTGTTGATGTAACCGTTGCTTTTTATTCTAGTAAAATTATTTGTCCACATAAATCAACATCACGTATAAGAGTGTTTGACCTTCAGCACAGCTTACTTAGAACTCCTAAAGTTGGTTTTTTACTGGGTCTGTTTCACTACTATCTCTCTCTTGGGAAAAAGCTTGGGTTTCTTGAAAATATCAACTCCTAATCAGAAGCCTAGACCCTGAGTAGTCTACAAGTCTTAACTTTTTCTGCTTTGCTTCTAACTCTCCGTGTTCTTTAGTACACAAAAGTAATTTTGTGAGCTCCTAGCATAGAACATAATTTATCAGTCACTCGCGTCCGGCTATTGGACAGATTGAAACAAAAGCATAATCTGAAAATATGCTGCTTGTTTTAAATGAAGCAAACAGAAAACAACTAAACATTAGATTTTTCTTTATCTTTTAAACCTTTGTACAAGTGACATAAACCTTTAGAATCTGCAGTAAGTACACCAACAAAATCTAATTTCTGCGTTTGTACACGTCGACGTTTTGCAGATTTTAAACGATCAATGAAATTTGTTCGATCAGCTGAAATTGTAATCAAATAAAAAGAATTTTAGTAAGATTTACACGAGCATACGAAAATTTAATACACTTGAGTCACTGTTATCGATTAAGAGCTATTTTGACTTTTTAAACCATTGATTACCATTAGTTCGAAAAGCGTAGTCAGTAATTTTGGATCTTCCGATAAGGTTCAGTTTAACAGTTGATTATCTCATGAATCGATCCCATTTAGTTTTCTAATCGAAAAATAAACTAGTACACCGCATGCGTAGGTAGGTGGCAGCGATAGAATGAAGCGAGCTTCCTAAGCGTATGTAGATTACTTATTCTTATCACAACTAGTACACCTGTTATCACACTATCAATTTGTGCTTCTTAGTTATTTTGTTTCTTTGCGTGATCTATTACGATGTTATCACTGACTCATAAACTGTCTTGATTAGTTTAATGGTTTCGTATATGTATATAAATATTTATTGTATATTAGAGTAAAGCCTGATGAGGATCTAATCGAAAACAATATTGTTCTAAATCACAATATGGGAATTTTTCAAAATTTGAACTGTTATCATTATAAGTATTGAAAAAATCATTGTTTCTTTCTAAATGTACAGCTTTTGCTACCTCTAGTTTCTAACATTTTTAAATTGAATAAAAAGAATTTTATTGTCAAACAGGTTAAAATAGAAATTTTACCAGGTTCAACTATTGCCGTCATCTTGGGCGATTGCACCGGGTTACATGCAGATCTGAATGTGAATAAGAAAAAAAGGATTGTACTATAAGAGAAAATAGTAATTGTTCAAAGCCACGAATTTATACCTTCACCTATCTACCCTATGCATAATTTTATTACGACAGTAACTAAGAAGTGGTATTAACACTATAACATACGAAACAATATTATATATTCTATGTGGATTACTGAAAATCAGCCACATAACTGCAATACAAATCTGGTCAGTTTGACGTCTGAACTAATCAAAAAGTACAAAATGACATTTGCCTTGATACTTCGAATGAAAAACGTCGTTGATATTTTAGTGATGTGCAACGTTGCCTAGAAAACTTGGAAGTAAACTGACAGATGATCAAAATGAAGATTAGTATCAGTTAACGAAGTCACTGACCATGGATTAAAATCATTTTGATAGATACGAATTACCTGGTTAGGTTCCGCACGACCAGTGATTGAGTAACACTACTTGTAATTGGACACAATGGGTCAAATGCATCCACTATTCTTCGACATTTTGAGTTTTATTACCCCATCAGACATACCTTTAGACTCCATCTTCTCGAACCATATTCTCAGTGTTTAGTCTCTCTGACTGTCAATGTTACTGCAGTAATTCCGGCTGCTTTATTATTCATCTTGTTAATTTTATCTTATAGTGCTAAGTTAGCATGACGACTTGGCCGTTCCCATCTCCGTCAGGCTGTTTACCGATTATGACTGACCGATTTTGATGAACTTCATTAAGCTAACAAAAACAGTGTATAGGCTCACATTAAACTCATCATATATGTAGCTTTTGATTCACCGACAATCCACCAATCATACACAGGTTTATATGCTACTGATATTACTTGATTATCCAAAAAAACCATTCAATTTCAGAACTCCAATTATGAAAGTAATTTAGATAGGCTTTTGCAAAACATGTCAACCTTTTTGTATACCAGTAAACTAATATCTGATTAATATGGTTTTTAATTTTGATACTATACCAAATTAGTTACTATAATACAAAATAAATTTGAAACTGGTATCAAACTAGTAAAAATTAAATAAACCACACATACTTTTGATTTATTTGCGTAGTGATACATTTGGAATCATGAGAATCTGTATGCCTATGGAGACGTTCACATAGAACTGTTAAACTTTTCATAATTTTTATAAGTGCTAAAGGAATGGTAGAATTAACAATATTCGTTTGATCATATGCTATTGTTTTAGCTAGACGAATCATTTCTGTAAGATTTAATGAATTAAAGTCATTTTCATTTGACAAACGATTTAGTCCATTTAATGTGTCATTCGTTTTTGATGAACTTATAGTTTGTATCCAATAATTTCGAATTTGTTCATGTTCAGTTGATATATCACTATATAAGGAAAGAATATAATCGAATTCAGTTGCCATTACAATTGCTTCTGCTTGAAGTACAGGTGCAACAGGCAGAGTTCCAGATGATGATCCTCTAGAATTAATTTTTTTTTGGAAAAACAAAAGATCATTTTTTTATATTCACTAAATAATGATGTAATAAAGCCACGAAAGAAGAATAAATAATCAATACTATTGACACTATAGCTCTCTTATACAAAAAAAAAGACATTGATCTCTTTCAGAATCTAAATTGTGTTAGAATACAAACTATTTTAAACCATAACGATGATTTTTTTATTGTATCTAAACCCTTGTACTACCCTGTAGATTTTTCAATACTCATTGTAAAATAATACAAATACTGATTTCTGTTGAACAGTGGAAAAGACAAATATAAGTACTTTTAACTTTTATGTACTTCACTTTGTAACAGTTAGCTATCTGAATCTAAACTTTCTTCGTCAAAAAAAAGAAGAGTCATACGAAGTTTTTACTGAAATTTAAAATCCACTGCTTCATTTTTGTCTTCAAGGTAGGCATTCAATCTAATTTTATTGCGAAGGAATAAACAATACCTTGGCTGAAAATACTTATGTGATGAATAGCTAGTTAATTTATTACATTACAAATGAAGTGTCATTACTTTTTTATTTCTAACAACTATATATAGATTCCTACCAACTTGGTATTTTTAAAGATTATGTTGAGTTATAGTTAATAATATTTATTTCATTACATTTCGGAGAAAAAGTGACTTAATCGTTAAAATGTTTGACTTTTAAACAATGAATTGAAAATTAAAATCTCGCTACATATAATTCGAGTTGGAGAGCTGATTAGTATCACTACTCATCACAAAAACAGTCTAGTTTGAACTTGGTAGAACAGTCACATTACACTGTATCTAAAAATTACAAATTATCTAACTAAGAATACGCCATTCAGCTTGGTGAACACAAAACCTTCAAAACTCTCATCCTGAGCTGCAAGTGTTTTCTATTATCTCAATCTAAGTAAGATAAATAATTACAAGTTCATAAATAAACCCACTAACGAAAGATTAACTCTATAAGTCTCAAAAGCTTACCTTTTAGAAGAGTTCTTTCTAGAATCGGACAGGCAAACGTACTGTTTAATAGAGTTTACAATATTCACTATAGATTCTTCACAGGCAGATATTTCACTAGGTTCAAGGTATTCTTTTGGTAAATTTTCAAATATTGGAGCAGCTAGCTAAAAATAGGACAATGATAATAAAAGTGTTTGCTTTTTATTAGATGTTTGATTTATAAACTTCATTATCAACAAACCGTAACTTCGGTGTTTCATAACTGAATAGGCTAAAGAATGAAACTGTAATAATCGATATCTGATTGAACTAATTGATGGATAAAATACCAACTACTACTACTCCGCAGTACTTCAAGTGGATATTTCATCCCATGTAGGTTATTTTCAACTAGAATAATTATTTTAAAAGAATACAAACGATTTTCTGCTCAAAAAGTCTACTGACACACTAAAATATACTCTATTATCTATGATTACTGTTTGATTTTCGGTTATTATAACAATATTCATTTCATTGGGTGCTCTACATAACACTCACCTCGACCACTCACGTGTAAATAAAATCAATAGTATACATAATATGATATATAGGTCATATTACTTATTTATATTTTATAATTCTCTACTAAATTCTACATACAAAAATTACCCTGTC